ATTTTTATTTGTTCAAAATCGCTGAATTTTCTTATTTTCCCATTCAAATGCTTGGAAGCGATGCCGGTGAGGCAGCAGCGAGCTCTGCCTCACCTTGGATTGCGCAACCCCTGGCTCTGCGCTGGCTGCAAAGCGGAGAGAGCATGTTGCTGTACGGCGTCAATAAAATGGTTTAAACAAATGTAATATGTGAACTTATTTCTAATAATTTGGCTTATGTATATAATGTACAGAGCTTTTTGTCACCAACTGTGTTTGTGTAACGTGTTTCGTGTAATGAGCGATTATAAACGGCAGAGAACAAGTTCGAGGTGAGGCAGGCAGTTCTCTTGCCTCATGGCAGGGGGTGCTCAAGAGACTGAAAACATAAGGCAGGAACAGGACGGATCAAGGAAGGCTTTCTTCCCTGGCAGTGATCTCCATTGAGACAGAGAGACTTTTAAAACTGAAGGAAGATAAGGAGGACTTCTATTCATTTATAAGTAAAGGTAAGACAGTAATAACGTTTATTTTGTTTTGTTTTTTAAGGAAATGTGTGTTTTGTGAGCTACAGTTTGTATGTGTAAGGATGCAGAAGTGAAACATAACCTGTAAACTGCTGTCAATCTATGCATCTATTTGCAAATCTGATTCTGATGACGTCAGTGCCTCACCAGCTATGAACCTCACCGCACGTCACTGAATGGACCTGTCATTTCTCAGCATGTGTTGGATGTTATGTTTCATGGAGGTTCATAACAGGGTATGTCTCTCTTCACCGCTGTTATATATGTTCTAGGGTGAACTGGCCATCGCTTTCCATCTGTAAACTCATTTATTGGTACGTTTTCATCTATAAAGCTGTTCTGGATTTCTACCGCCTTACCTAGCCCTGTGACTGAGACAATTTAGCTACAAACGTGGCTCTCAGGGTTTCCTTTCCTTCAGTGTGATATGTGTACAGTCCAAACTTGTAATGGGCATTTTTGTATTATGCCCCAATTAATGGGGAATATTCTAAAGCTGGAACTGAAATTGTCTGTTTTGATTCCTCTGGAACAATTTAAATATCTTTAAAGGCATAAAATCTCATATGCAACTTGCTCCTTTTTTAGGTCGACCTTTTAATTTTATTTAATTGTGATCAATGATTTCTTTTTATTATTTTGTATCGTTCATGCATTTTGGTGTTTGATTTAATCAAACAGGTCTCTTGAAAATAAGATTTTGGATCTCAGTGAGACTGTCTGTAAAAACAAAAGTTAAATAAAAAGAAAAATGAATGTAATGTTAACCTTGGGTAGGACTGGATTGGGCTTGGATATCTAATCTCTGATTCAGAGTTCTCCACCATTATTGGCATCCCTGTTTAAGATCTGGCCGATCTTTTTTTAAACAACATAGAACCCAAATGCAAAAAAGAGAAAAATCCAACCTTTTATTTAAGTACATTACTTTGGGGGCTTTTCTTCCCCTCTCTCCCTTATGTTTCATAATGAAAAATGAAAAATTATATACAAACTTTCAAAACCTATTATTATTTTAATCAGCCCCTGGGAGGTGAACGTAATTCAATGACAAGATATTTCAAGCTCTGAAACAAGCTAGGAAAAGAGTCATTAAAAAAACAAAAAAACATGAAAATATGACATTAAATGTTTGCAATTCATTTGATCAGATATGAGTAGACTTCTAGAAAAGAAAGGAGTTAAAAACCTGTCACTCAAAGCTACAGAAGCATTGGTGGAAAACTAATAAAAACCTTTTTTTTAATTCGCGTTTAGAAGCAATTAAAGCAATTTTGTTCTAGTCTCTTTCTTAAAAAGTTTTACCAAAAAAGTGCCGTGTTTGCCCACTGCCCGCTAAATTTTTTTTGAAAAAACCAGAAACGTACATAAGCCACACATATAAGCATCTGCTATCTAGTGAACTATCTCCAACCAAACCTATAGGGGGAGCTCTACATATAGACCCTAAAGTAGGGACAAAGAGGAATGCTAGCTCAAGTTAGCTTGTTAGCTTTGCAGCAGTAATAGCTTCCACTGAAAGAATGGGGCTTCTTCAGCTCTTTATTTCAGCTCTGTAAGAGCTGAGCCCTGTCTCCTTATTTTTTCGACAGCTTTAATGAAGAAAATAAATGTCAAAATGTTTAAATTCAGGATATTTGTTCTCTGTCGTGTCTGCTCCTAGCATGTTTTTTGCTACATGAAAATTAGCCCCTTATTCTTTGATTTCCAACTTTGACTTCCCCCTCTGGCCATTAGTAAATTCCACAGAAAAGCTGCACCTTCTTATAAGCTGCATGGTTCAAAGTGTGAGAAAAAAGTAGCAACTTAAATATGGTAATAAAAACAATCATTTTCCTGTTTTGTGTTTTTGAATGAAATAGTTTTTTTTGCAGTTGTAAAATACATTAGGTTTGAACTTTTTACCATTAGTTTTCCTCACTTCTCCCAGGATTTAGTCTTTGATTGTTGCTATGATCTTTGCGGATGACCCACTCTCACAAGTAGCAGCAATAGCACTGAATTTCCTTCATTTGAACCATTTCCCCCCTTCCAGAGCAACGCCACGCTGTCTTTTAAAAAAGCTTTTGTGCTCTCCTCCAACATCAAGCATGTTTAAATGAGGTGCTTTCAGGGCTAGTGAAAGTTGTTGTAATTGAGGCACGCATCAAGCAATCTACTCTTTGGAGGTGCTTTTTTTATTTTTAGGGAACAACTCTTCCAATTTTATATCCTTTTCTTGAAGACCTCGCTCCAAGCTGCATCTGGGAAAAGTCAGAAGGTTTTCGGCCTACATAGTCTGTTCCTTGCAGTGTGCAAAAGCAATTTATAATACTCTCTGTTGTTTAAAGTAGTTTTTCACTCTAACAAGCAAGCTTTTCAGAAATATAAATGATTCCAAAGCTTTTACAGTTTTCTTTTTCCCACTTTACCTTGCTTTGTGCTTTTGTTAAGTGGTTTAAAATAGTGACCTTGTATGAATCCTTGAAAGGCTTAAGGTGTTAATAACATATTTTTAATAGGAGTTAAATGTTTGCTGTGGAACTATTTGGTGAATGCCATAGTTCCAATGTAATGTTTGTTCTCTGCTTATTTGCAGCAATGATGAACATTTGTTATTGGTAATTGTTGTTTCAGGTATTGTTTGTTTTTTAAATTGATTATGTTTGCTTATGTCTGAAAGGTATATTTAGTTGCTCAGATTAGGGCTGCAAGTAAAACCTATTAAGCAAATTGATAAATCTGTAGATTATCTTTTTGATTAATAATGGGATAATTAAAGGTTTCTTAAAGAAGACTTTTTTACAGAACTCAAACTTTTGCACTTAAGGAATTCTGGATAGAGCATATCGACAGACAAAAAGGTTTATTTTATCTTAAATGCAAAATGTATATATATTTCTTTTTACAATCTTGTCAAAATTACTCCTTTAAGTGGGTTCCTCTGTCAGCTAGAGGCACATTTTAGAGTCTCTATAGTCCAGTTAACGATTAATTAATGATTAAATTGACAATTATTTCAATAACCGATTGATTACGATTAATCCAATTTATTGTTTAAGCCCTAGTTCAGATTAATGATTAATGAAAAGTACAACAGGATTCCAACAAATCTGGGAAAATATGCAGAAGTACAGTTTTTATTTAATTATTTGAGTGCTATAAAGATACATACAACTAAAATTATTATATTTATTTGATTATTTTAATAAGATAATGAAAAATCAATCAAACCAGCTATAAACCACATAGAAAAAGTAAGGATTTGGCTAAGGCTTTAGTCATACCTTAGCCTGACGTAGTCCTACTCAATTCTAGTCAGAATATGAGTCTGATACTGCTCCATAGAGCTCTGATTATGGGGCGTGTTTCAAACGAACCAGGAAAAAAAATGCCTCTGCACTCAATTGGATAGACCTACAACCAATAAGAGCAACGGAGTGCGTGACGTATGTTAAGCCACGCATAGTTGTTGTCAACAAAAATCAAAGCGTGCAGTTCCACACCTAGAATAAGAAAATGAGCCTTGATCGCGTTTCTCTGTTTCTATTTTAAAATTAATTTGCTGTCGATATCTTCTAGAACAGACCTAGTAGCAGAATCTACTCACCTCAACTCTCCGGCGGCAGCCATTGTTGTTGTCGCCCAAGCGCGCTTTGGTCACGTGGTTGATTACGTTACTGTTGATTATCTGTCCATCATCGTATAAAGCCCGCCCTGACAATTTGATTGGATCGCCAGAGAGTGGGCGATAATACTCGCGCTACTATGGAGCAGAGCCAGACCTAACTTCCCGACCTCAACCTTGTGGGCGGGACTAAGTTCGGAATGGCACCCAGGCTAGTCATACCTCCCCGTTTGTCCAAAATGCATCCTTGGGTCCATAACAGTGTCAACACATTGCTCCACAATCGCGTCCATTTTTCTCATGGTCTTCTGTCAGTCCTTCCTTAAAAGAAAAGCAATAGTGTAATAAATAGCCCTAAGTTTAGATGAAACCGTTTGTGAAGTCAGGTAGGAATGTCTGTTAATTGCATCCAATCATTTTAGGATTGGATGTTATTCAAAATGATGCTGCACAATGTATTAAATCACTGTATTCCCTGCAATATCAGTGTATAAGCACAGTGCTAATATAGTCGCAGGAAAGTCAAAGTTTGTGGGATGCTGTTGTTAAACTGTCATACATTACAGCTTTACTTCCTAATAATGTGCAAGATGGGCTCAGTTGGATGGGCTCTACTGTCCTGGTTGGACACACCTGACATTTATTTTTAGAGACAGAGATACTGAAGCCTCCAGTGTGGAATGGGGACACATCATCCTTGAGAATAAAGAATCAGAAAAATGTGGAACGATTGTCGTCTTTAACCTGATTGCGCTTCCTCAATTCTTTCATTTGGACCTAAATCCTACGAACCACATTTTTTTTATCTTGTCAAATACAAATATGAAATCAGATTTCAAATGCACTTAGTTTTTTTCTTTTTTGTCTTTATGACCCTCAACATCTAGAATCCACTTCGGCATGAACGGATCGATCCGTATAAATCCTGCTCAGAGGAAGGTTACAGCGGGCTCTGCGGCAGTGTTGGAAATACGCCTTACCAACGACACTGTGGCCTTCTTTGACAGCACAGTAGAAATAAGGTAATGGGGACAACAGCCAACGCAAGATAGATTGAGGTGACACAAGTTCACCTTGGGGTATTCTTCTGATTTACTGAGTATGTCCTACATTAGGCTGGTTCTGAAGACAGCGGCTATTGTTGCATGAAAAATGCTGTCTTTACTCAGCATTTGTCCTTATCATAGTATTTTATGTGCTATGCTCTAAAGCAAGCCAGACAATAATTTGTAGCATCTGAAAGTCTCACCTATGGTCTTCTGGATAATAATAAAGAATCTGAAACAATTTGGAAATGTATAACCTCAGCAGAGCTGCAGTTGACCTAGAGCGAAAACTGCAGCCATGTATTTTCTCAATCCTCCAGGTACTTTGAAAACTGTGTTCCTGCAGGTTGACGGAGGATTGTGAGCAGAAGGTCAGGGCCATGGAGAGTCTGGATCTGTGCTCCCCCAAGTTCAGTTTCTCGCGCTCTGAGGAGGCAGTGAGGAGCCAGGCAACCAGGATGCTCTGCGACGTTCTCCTAGACCAAGCCGTCATGCCGGGAGTAGGCAACATCATTAAAAACGAAGCCCTGTTTGACTCGGGCCTCCACCCAGCCGTGAAGGTATGGAAAAGATGATGGATTGTGTTCAGCAGAGGAATAAAATATGAGGAAGGGAGGAAAAAAAATGCAAGACAACACTCACAGGGAAAAAAATAGTTGAAGCTCAAGTATTTCTGAGTGCTGCATGGAAATGAGGAAGGTGAAAAGGGGATAAGACAAACAAGCGCACTGCGGCACATATATATTCCTTTCTTTTTGTGCTCTTTGAATGCATATTGCTTCCGAGACGGGGAGCTTCTGCTTCTGCTTACTTTCCTAGATTTATGAAATAAACATTAATGAAGTTGTTTTCTTGATTGAGCAAACTATTGACCTCTCTATTTCTGATGAGACGCTCCGTAGCGTGAATACTTTTAATACTCAATTATTATTTGAGGTTTTGTTTTCTCAAGGCTGTCTCCCCTCCCCCCCTTCGAGTGTTTTAACACGCTGGACCAAAACATTAATCTTGGACTTTTAGCCCCTTCTTCCCATGGGGCTGCCTAATGTTTATAAGCTTCGCCTCCATTATCAAGCCTCCAAGTCCCCAAAAGAGCAAAAAAATAAATAAAAAAAAATATTTTTTCTCTGTCTGATCTGAAGTCGTGAATTTGCTGCTGCAATCCCCATAAATATACAGCATGCAATATTAATCTTTTAAATCATTCACCTCTGGCTTTAACCATATCTTGGGCTTTTTTTGTTGATTGTATGCTTGTGGTGTAGCTTCGCTGACTTCCAATGAACTCTTTGCTCTTTGCGATGAAGAGTCGTTTTTGCCTTACGGCTGTGGCTGCTCTGCAAACATTTCATTTCTAGGTTCAACAGTTGACAGATGTGCAAATCCACCATTTGGTCAAGATGACTCGAGATTTTACTCTTCTGTTTTACAAGGTCAGTCATTTTCACAGTATATTAAAAGCTTTAATAAGCATAAAGGATGGGATAGTTTCTTTAAAACAAAAAAAAATAATTGTTTCTGTTTTTTTCTGTCAGTGTCGCAAATCTGGCTCTCCTCTCTCCAAACATTACAAAGTCTACAAGCGTCCCAACTGTGGCCAGTGCTCCCATGTTATTACAGTCTGTCGTCTTGGAGACAACGGCAGGATGACTTACTTCTGTGAGCGCTGTCAAAAAGGAGATCCCACCTGCGTTGACGTCAGGTAAGGGTCCTTGTAGGCTTCTGGCACTTTGACAGAGAAACTCTTGCTTTGCATTCCTGTAAAGCGACTTTGAAGGTTTGCAGATTTGGTTGTTTTTCTTTTCTTTTTGAGTTTACAGTGAGGTTAAACCCCGGTAATACCTTGCTTCTTCTGTCCAACACAAATCCATATTTCAGAGTTCAGCAAAATAATAAAAAATTCAATTGAACAGGTGCAGTTGGTGTTTTAGAAATGTAATAATGCATTTCAAGAATAAATAGCCTGGTTTTAAAGTTATTCACTGTCTTTAATGATGGGATAAAGTATTTTGTTGTTCTCTTAAAGGATAAATAAAAATATATATCAGCAAAGAATGCAATTATTTGAGATGGAATTGTAAGAAACTAAAAGTTGACTAAAAGTTTTCTCAGCAATGCAAGAGTAGACATTTAATCAGTAAATAGATTTATAAGTATCATTAAAATAGCAGAAACTATCAAGCCACCAACAACATAAAAATTCAACCTGATGAGATGTTAAGTAAGTAGAGTGAAAATGAATTGAATGAATGCACTAAAAAGATCATTTTAAAATGCAGAACTAAGGAAACAGTCCCAACCAGAAACAGACAAAAATGCAAAAATGAATTTTGAATAAAGTTTAGTATTGAAGAAATCCAAAATAAGGATAGAAATCGCATTAAGATGAAATAGAGGATCCAACAGAAGCAGGTAATGATGCAGTAAACTTTTACCAAACAAAAGAAATACAACTAAATTCCTTAAATTCTATTAAAACTATATTTTGTAAATAAATTGTATTTCTCCCATATCTGTTCCAAAGGCAGGGTTCCCACGGGTCCTTAAAAAGTCTTAAAAGGCATTGAATTCTTGAAAATAAAACTAAGGCCTTAATTGGTATTAAAATGTCTTAAATCAGTCTTTCGTAGGTCTTAAGTTTTAAAACATCAACATAAAACAACATTATTTTTATTACAATTTATTTTTGTAATCTAAATAAAATGTTAAAATTGATTTAAAAAAAAAAAAAAAAAAAAGATAATGGCTCGCCAGTATTGATTCCGTCCAGATAGCGGAACCAATAAAACGTTGCGGCCGGGACATTTGGGAGATATACCATTTACTTTTTGTCTGGAAAATATGAGCAAGTGTAAATGTAACGAAAAATGCCTATCCAGCCAAGAGTTTTCTCCATGGCTAAAACCAGTACCAGGGAACATACATGAGGCTCGGTGTATTTTGTGAAAGAAGTCATTCAAACTCGGAACGATGGGAATTAAGGCAGTGGAGTCGCACATGCGAAGCACGAAACACAAAGCGTCAAAATGGAGTTCCCGAGAAACAGCCGGTATTTCTCGGTTTTGTTCCACCCTCGTCTCTGCAACGCCTCCACTTATCACCAAATCAAACATACTAAGAAAACGATACAAAGAAAAATAGCTGCAAAATAGACTTAGCATTGGTTATGTTGTGGCTTTAAAACTGATTTGTTTTGTTCCCTGCTAAAACAAAGTTTGTGAGTTTAGTTAAGTAATTGTTAAAATATATTTGTCATTTATGTGTTTTTAGCTTTTTTCCTGTATGAGAAGCTCTTCAAAATTTGAAACATTGGTGCAGTGGTTTATGTTAAAATAAACCTTTGGGTTAAGTTGTCGCAAGTTTTTCTTGTGTTTCTTGTAAATTTGGTCTTAATTTTTTATTTCAAGTGGCATTAAAAAGTCTTGAATTTAATTTGCCTTATGCTGTAGGAATCCTGCAAAGGGGGGTGCCTCACTGTGTGCTTTAGTTTTCATTTGAGGTACAAGAAAAACAGATTACAGGCAGAGATGGCAAAAGTACTCACTTTCCGTACTTGAGTAAAAGTACAGATACTTGTGTTAAAAAATACTCTGGTAAAAGTGGAAGTACTGATTAAACTTCTTTACTCGAGTAAAAGTAACAAAGTAAAGGCTTGTAAATTTACTTAAAGTATAAAAGTAAAAGTAGAAACCACTTTTTTCATGCTGTTGCCTACATTTTAAATGGATGTCTGCCAATAGGACTAGATCTCCGTTGTGTTCATTTTCAATCATCTCGTCGTCCATACTACTATGCTAACGCCACCGCCACCAAGCTGCAATGATTTGCCGCAAATGAATACCGCCGAATCTGTCGATTCATCTTGTAGTGGTGCGTCAAATGCAACGTAGATTCCCATCCAATTAGATTGAATTTGGTATTGATGACGTGAAAAATAATAACGGTAACTCCATTGAAATTATTCAAAACTAAAGTAACGAGCCAATTTTTTAAAATGTAAGGAGTATAAAGTACAGATATTTGTGTAAAAATGTAAGGAGTAGAAGTAAAAAGTCGCCATAAAAATAAGTAGTAAAGTAAAGTAAAAATATCAGAAAAATCTACTTGAGTACAGTAACGAAGTATTTGTACTTCGTTACTTCCCATCTCTTATTACAGGGCTCTGCTTGACTTATAGATCAAAAGGTAAATACGTTTGATTAACACCATTAATGTATTAAAATAATAAAAGCACTTTCGATGTCAGTTGTAAAAGATAAATGTGTTTACTACACAGACTTTACTGTCAGTTTAATCCTCATCTTTTAGCATCTGTAGTGGAACTTTGCTTTGCTTAAGAAAACCAGATAGCACATCATCTCAGTTATTAGTCTGGATTATTATAGACCACTTCTGCATCACATTGAGGAAAATAGGGTTCATAGTATATTTTCTAAGATGTTATTGGGGTATCAGAAATGTAGCTTTTAATGAAATAAAATGCTTTATTATCCTTTTCCTAGATTAAGTTAAACCTCCTTAAACTGGTTTCAAAAAACAGAAAAATTAAACACCCACACTGAGGAAAGCAACACTAGCTACCGTAGTTTGGAGTTATAAACCCTGTCTTTGCAGAAGCCGCACAGCTCTTTAGATGTGGTGATCAAATTCATGGAGGCCATCTTTGGAGGCAGATGGGCTTGGCAGGAAGTGGGAAGTGTTATGGGGTGAGAATTAATGTGCATATAAGGCTGTGTTTGCCAGACAGGGCACAGGCTCAACACCTCCTGGGTTGTGTTTGAGCAAAGCTTTGAGCGGTTAGAATCCAAAGCCTTTACAATGCATGACACAGCTGATAAAGCAATCTGGGAGAAGTTTCCCAAAGCCGCCGCTCCTTTCCTCCTCCAAGACGGCTGGCACTAAAGATTTGCCTTTTTGTCTGACATAGTCCAGCTTCATGTCAGAGCGACAACATTTATGCTCGGAGCTTTTATTGAAACACATTGTGTTCTTTCATATCCGCATCCAATGTCTGAGCTGCAGCATTAATTAGCAGATCCTTCTAGTCCTTATTGTTATTTATATATGACGAAAAGCTGTCTGTGACTCGGTGCTCATCAGAAGAAAAAAAAAATTCTGCATAAAATCAAGCAAAACCAGGAAAATAGCTGCATGAAGAAGTCATTATGATCATTATCATTACCGCCCACTCACTACTGAAATGAGCTTCTGCCTCTAATCTTCCATTATTTATTTGAAAAGCTTAAGTTGTATTGAATGTTCCATTCAAACAATACAGTGATTTCTTCTTTCTTAAAAAAACAAAGGAAAATCTTTCATAATAAAGATTAAACAAAAGAGTAAAGTTGCTTTTTTTTATACTTAAATCACATTCAGACTTTGAATGATTTTGATGTTTTTTTTCCTTCAAAAGCAGTGCATTTCTTATAATCCATTATATATACCAGTATTTTATTGAAGCGCTCAGAAAACTTGCAGAAGTTCAGTTACTTAGATTTGTTTGTTTCTCTGTTTGAGACGATTAGCATTGTGGTTATATTTTACTAATTTATTGAACATACTACCTAGCCTAGCCTTCTCTTGTCTCATTTGTCGTGAATTTGAAGAGCAATTTTACACATGATGTTAAAAAAAAAAACGAGTTTCATTATAAAAGGATGTAAGACAGTCAGATGTTAGAATTGAACCATTACTCTAGAAGCAGCTTTCATCAGTAATTCAATGCTAGAAATCTGAGTTTTCTTTATTTTTTATTTCTTCTGTTCATTAACTCTAAACTAAGAACTGTCATTCTTTTTCCGGCTATTCTATCTTCAACCAAAATACTGTACTTTGACCTTTTTTTTTGGTGATGAATGTGTGCTTTGATGCATAAAAACAGATAATCTATCATTTCTTTTTTTGCTGTTAGAGTGAAAGCTACTAGCTCTTAAAAGTTTTCTGGATTAGTTTTCAGCAGGGGAAAAGTGCCTGTTTTAGCTGCAGAGTTACCAGAATCCTCTTTGATACGCTGCTTTCTTCACACAGTAAGCTCCCAGTTAGAAACAGCCTTATCGGTTGGGCATTTCATGAGAGATCCAGTGATGATGTGGCTAAGAAGGAGGAAGAGGACTGGGCTTGTCAACTATGCACGCTCATCAACCAGCCAGAAGCTAAAGCCTGTGATGCCTGCTTCTCTCCAAAACCTGAGGGTGAGAGAACAGTTTTCTTTTATTGTCACTAAATTTAATGGGGTGACAGAACAGCTTTGTTAAGAAAGAAAAAAAATAGAATAGCAAGTCTTCTTTAGCTGTGTAGCAGAATAATAAGGTGCAATTTGACATTAATGCTTCAGTGCTTTAGGAGGCATGGCAAACATCAAATTGGTACTGGAGTCAGCTGGGCCGAATCCTCTGTGCCCTACGTTGCTCCACAAATAATGACTGCATCTGTCAGCTGGTCATTTTTCTCTGACCGTCTTCAGATGGCTCACGGCAGCAGCCAAACTGCAGCTGATCAGCTTCAGCTCTTAGGAATCACACAGCTAGATTTGGAATACATCAAGCCTTTTTTAAAGCTCGCAGCACCCTGAAGGGCTGAAGAGCATCGGTTCACAGCTGCATTATATGGCGCTGTAGTTTCAGCCCTCTTTTATTTTTATGGCTTTGAATAAGAGTGTTTTTTTTATTAAATCAGTGCCACAATAAAACCTCTTTGGTTCCATATCATAAAATGATTTCTAACTTCTAAACAGGGGGGTGAAGAAAAGGAACCGCACTTTAATCATCAGAATTTTTACATTATTGCTCTGAGCTGTTTGGAAACAATAAACATGAGCAGCCAGTACTCATGTAAACCCACTGCGTTTTTCTGCAGATATGAGAGAATAAGAAATGAGACGGGTTGCTGCAAACATCAACTTAACAGACCACTGGGAAAACAATGCTTACATGGAGCTTGGAACTAGTTACTGTTTTTAAACTGATCAAAAAGATAAAAAGTCATCTCACTGCTGTTGCAGTTGCTGCTCCTCCATAACTGCTGCTGTGCACTGCTGGTCAGTTCTCTGAAAGAGTGTTACTATATTGATTACAAGCTAACTAATTGGGCTCTTTAGAAATCCATCTAATAGTGAATGCTACATACAACCATGAGGTGGAAAGCAAAAAAAAAAAAAAAACCTCCACCTTTTATGGTAACAGTTGGGAAGCAACAAGCAGCAGGTCTGCTAATTAACTGCCTGCAGGCTGGAGTCAGCAGATAGCCTGACCAGCTAATTTTAGCCGTTTCTTCTGCCACTGTTGCTGAGCAGTGCTCAATCCTGGGAAATAATCACTTTAAAATCACTGCATTGAACTTCCCCACTTTGGCACAATAAAGGGTATTTCCATTCGTTTCAAGTGTTTATCGGTAGTTTGTTCTTGTTCTGGAAGGCTGGGCAGGTTGCTTCATCTAGCTGCAGGATTGCTCATTTTAGCCGTATTCTCAGATCTGAAGGGTGGTTTCATTTCCTTACACAGCATTTACCTCCATTCACATTTTAAACTGATTGATTTTCATTTCCACCCCTGCTATTTTCTGGAGTGGTTAGTCTTTTGAACGAGAGGCGCCTTTTACTGATTTGGGTGTGTGGCCATGAAAAAGCATCTGCTCCTAACTTGTCTGGGGTCTCATAAACAAAAAAATATGAGGAATCCATATCAATCTATGCATGCCAAATATACTACAATCAAATATGCTATAAAAACTGTTTTATTAAACCATGTGCACGCAGAAAACAAGCAATTTACCTTTATAGATCAAAGCTGTGCATAAAAGTTTGCGTCCAAGGCTCCACATTACGTTTGGCCCATTTTAGACACATATTGAACCATAAATGCAGTGAATGTCATTGTATATTTAAATGAGCCAGCTGATCAATGTTATTTGTTAAAAACTGCAAGCAGAGTTTATAATCTCAGTTTAACTGAGGTGTCGGTGTGTGAGGGGAAAAGTCAGAAAGTTAGGTCTGGATGCCACTGTAAATAAAAGGAAATATGTGTGTGGACTAATCACATTAGGGCTCAAACAATCAATTGGATTTATCATGATTAATCGATTATTGAAATAATTGTCAAATAATTTATTAATATAGAGAGACTGTAAAACATGCCTTTTGCTGAAAAAGTGACCCACTTAGAGCAGTAATTATACCAAAATAAAAAATCTATATATATGTATAAATATTTTGCATGATAGATAAAAGTATTTTTTGTCTTTCAATATGCTTTATCCAGAACTCCTCAAGTGGAAAGGTTTTAGTTTTACCTGGTTTAATTTCGTAAAAAAATCTCCTTTAGGGAACATTTGACCATCCGATTATCAATTGATTAATCAAAAAACTAATAAACACAATCAATTAGCAAAATAAGTGTTGTTTGCAGCCTTAGATCAGATTAACAAGAGCTGTGACATCCCAGCTTTACGTATAAATTCACCAAATTATTTTATTCCTAAAAGAAGGTAAGAAGTCACAGAGAGGTTTACAGCTGGAATTAATAAAAAAAAAAAAAAACATATTCTGGCAAAACAGGAAACAGGGCACTTATCTTTTTGGTTTAAGATCGACAAGTATTGTCATGTTTAGGCTACAATTTATTTGTATTGGTTGTTTCCTGATTTTTTTTTTTTTCTTTTTCTCCATTACTGTGGATCTTTAATAAACTTAACCCTCGTCCATTTTTCGCCAATATGAAACATGTAAATGATCTATATCTATTAATCATTAATAGTTTTGAATTCTATATGTAGCACAGACTGTTTATGTGTTTCATTGGGATTCTACTCCCAGCAGCCCCTCCTGTTTCACACCTATGATGAACAGTGATGGTCTAGCAGGTGTAGAGAGCAAAGCTCTGTGGAGTTTGATCAGCTGATCACCCCTCCTCATCCTGGGTCAGGAAACATTGATAATCCCTGGAAATGCATTCCCTCCTAATTCTCCTATCTGCAAAATCTCCTGCATGGTCAAGTCATCCATAACGCACCATTACACATTTGCTACATTTCCTCATTGATCGGTGGTACAAATTGGCCCCTTGTTCACCAGAGAGAGGAATGTGATTGTGAGAAAAAATTTAAATATCTGCAGAATTTGATATTGAATTCAAACTTTTTAATTATTTGTGAGAGAACGTGTCAGTACCAGCATATATCACACTGCAGTTTTGGTCTATGGTTAAAGTTTCATATAAGATAAAATAAGATGTCTGAAAAAAATTCTGATTCAATCTTGCTTCAGTTCACCTCAGTCACCAATTTCCCTCTCTGTCCAAAATATGCGAACACGTACGTAAGGACCAGAGTTTGCTAAGGTTCAAGCAATTTTTCACACCAAGTTTGTTTTTAGAAATCACAGCCTTAGCATGATTTATGTTTATATGTTCGAGTCAGAGTACACATTTTTTAGGCCTTGTTTTGTGCAAAAACAAAAATTTAGAATTTTGACCCCCGGTCCTAATATTAATTTTGCTGATGAAGATTCTCAGTCATCCAGGTCATAGTCATTCCGTAAACTGTTGAACTTTTACGGAATAATATTAATTTTGTTTTTCATTAAATCCAAAAACAGCTGAAAAATCATTGCATGACCCTGGTTTTAAAGAAATGTAGTGCAATGTTTCTGAGAGATGTTAGAAGTAAAATATTGCAAATAAAGCAAGAAAAAGCTACTGAGAAAGCAGAGGTTGAGGCAGTTTGTCCAAAAATATTGACATTCTGGCTCTGGTTTATTTAACCACCTAAACCTTCCAGAGAGCACCCTAACTTTTATATATTTTTCAACCATTAAGGGAGAAAAGTTTTTTTTGTAAGGAAAATGTTCATGAACAGTTTTAGCAAATAGAATGACCTATTCTGATTACTGATACTTACTTTAAGATGGTGGCTCAGTGCTTCCATCTACATATTTATACATGAAACCACAGAGCATGCTGAATAGAATGATGGCCTCCATTAAAGGGCCCTCACAATTTATACTTGACCTGATGCTCCTCGTTGACAGATTAGAAATAGCAGTATAGGTTTTTTTTTTGAAGTAGATTTTTTTAACTTTTTTTCTTTTCCCCATGTCTATAAACTGTTTTTTTTTAATTCTCCTAAGCTTGGGGGAATTCAAATTTGCAGGAAAATGTATTGTAATTTTATCTTTTAAATATTTAGAAAGTTGCCCCACATGTCCTATTCTCAACAACAAAATGTTTCCTTTTTTTCTTATTCCTCATTTTTTTTATGGTCTTCAAAGTCTGCATTTTAAAATGCCTAATATGTCTTTTCTCACTTCATTCATGCTTCTTTGTTTTCCTATTCCATACGAAAAAATTGGATTCCTTGATTGGTTTATAATATAACAGTCAATACACAATTTTACACAATACACAATTTAAACGGGAAGAAATATTAATTCTGATCTATTACATGGTTTTCTAGAAAGTTTACAGAAATTTGATAATTTTTTAATCTTATTAATGGAAACTCATGGCTACCTTAGCTTGCAGAATCTAATAAAACAAGACATTTTGATTTAATTTCCACACCAGCTATTCCAACCATTGTTTTTGAATTGAAATAATTGGAACAGAAATACTAAAGGAACACAGATTTATCCGTTTAGATAAAGTCAAAAACACAACAAATCAAAACCTCATGAAAAAGAAAAAATGAAGCTTACAGGCAAACACATCTGTTATCTCCATTAATACAGCCAAATTCAGCTTTAAAATGAAACATTTGTGTGGGCTAGAGGTGATAGATGTTCTGATTTTGATCTTAATGGTCCTATTTTCAAATATTTGAGTTAATTTATGCATCTGCATCTCAGAAGGATATTGTATTTAAAGTGACTGCAGAGCAGGACTTCCTGCTGCTTCTTGTTAAATTTCTGGTAACTATTTTAAGCTAACAACAACCTGGATGTTGTGAGAGCAGCCAGTGCATCTGAATTAGCTGCAGCTGCTGAACATAAATTGAGTTTCTCACCCTGGCTCCATCTACACAGTTCACAAAGACGACATTAGCACTGAAGCATCGCCCTTCACTGCCGATTTAATTAAATACCCCTGCAACGCCTTCAGGAAGCCGCGAGAGGAGCTCAAAGTCAACTGGAGGTCTGCGTTCGGGACTTCCACCCTTGTTTTCTCTGACATGAGTGAGAAGCCAAAGCCTGTAAACTCCCCACTCTCCCCAGCCGGCGGTCATTTGAATTCCTTGGCGGCAGAACGGGGTTTGTATAAAAACAGCTTATGCCAAGGGACAACAAGCCCCAATTATGCCTCTGGTGGCTGGCAAAGGAAAAGTGCAGAGCTCTCCAAGGGGGAATCACTGGAATCTTACAGTCACCCTTCCAAGAAAATGAGAATTGATCACAGCCCCTCTCCCAGTAACAAAGCTCCAAATGGAACCTCCAACTCAGGGTGAGTATCTCTTCCTCGACCGTCCATGAACAAGTTTATAATAAGATAAGTTTTATGTATAAGTTCAAGGAGATGAGCTGGGGAACAATTCATGGAACATTGTTAAAAAAAAATCCTCAGAAACATATAACCATGGTACAGCAGTGGCCATATACAATAATTGCCAACGAGCATCATTATACTTGGCTGAAAAGATGGCCCTAGCTCGCTAATAAGTGTTGATGTGACAGTTATTTCCTGTGTTTTATCTACAGCATTCTTCAAAATAATAAGACTGTTCCTTCTCCTCTGTCAGTGCTCGCAGATCAGGCACGGCAAGCACTGCAGCCCCTGTTCCTCCTAGTCCCCCTTGTTGCACATCCCACTGTCGTCCCACCGTCCTCAGAGTGGTCCACAAGGAGGGGGACAATAAAGGACGACAGTTTTATTCCTGCTCCCTGCCGAGAGAAAACAAGTGCAACTTCTTTCAGGTGGAAAAAGAAACTTTCTTGGATTTTCTTTATGTCTAAGTTTCAGCTTGACTACAGCTCAGCTTTAAAACTAAAGAAAACATTTCTTTCCCCCTTGTTGCAGTGGGCTGATTTGCACTTTCCTCTCTGTCACCACGGGAAACGCTGTTTAATGAGGACGGTTCTGAAACTGGGTCCTAACAATGGTCGCAATTTCTACACCTGCAGCTTTCAAAAGGGTAAACAATGTGACTTTTTCCAGTGGGCGGAGAACGGACCTGGAGTTTCCATGCTTCCCGGCTGCTAACACATCAAGGCTGTACATAGGGGCACCTCTAAACATCAAGACATCATCAGGACATCTGTTTATTGCTTTCCTTCAAATCAAAAAGTCAAACTGAGGCATTAGAGACATAGTGTGCTATACCTCCAGTCATTTCTGGTATGGCTGGGCAGTTGGATTTATTTATTTTTTTTTACAGTCAAGCTTAAAACATTCAGATTTTAAAAAAAACAGAATGTTGCTCCTTAGAGATTAAAGAAAATGCTCACAAAAACTGGTATAGAGAAATGTAATGACCATGTTCTGTGACCCCGGATGCTGTAAAACCGCCTGGTGGACAGTTTCTCCACTCTCCCTCCAAACTCTGCAAGCTTGGCATCAAATAATTTGCTAAATTGACTTTATTTTAAAAAGAAGACTTTTGAGTACCAGTCTAGTCTTTTAGGGGTCACTGATGTCTCTGATACAGAAGCGGCCTATAACAGTTGTAGCTCATGTACAGGATACGTCTCAAGTAACACAATAGGCCTTATGAATATCTTCCGAACTCCTAAAAACCATTTGCTTCACCGTCCTGCGACCATCCCTGTTGATTTTACACCATTCCACTACCACACTTTTTCCTTCCACCAAACTTTCCATTCGTATGCTTGAATGCAGCACTGTTTTAATTAATAGCCAGCTCCTTCAGCAGCATCATTTTCTTGATGTCTGTGTCCATTTGCTGCACAGCAGTCATTTCAAATGATATAATTAAAATTAACTGAGGGAAACATGTAATGTATAACTGTCTAATGTTTAACTTTTGATATGAACACTTTTAATGATTCTAAAAAGATGCACTTGTTTGACTTAAAAATAAAAACCCAAATCTTGCATATTTTTAAAAGGAAATACAAATATTTGCATACTATTGAACTGCATATTTAATCAGGTATGTTGTAATAATCCCACATTGACCACATTGTGTTGAATAAAAAAAATCTGTTTCATTTATTCAGTAGATAATTTTTTAAATTTTGATTCAAATAAAATAATCAGAATAAAAATCCATCCTGGAGATGAGTAAACCACAGAAAACCTAAACGACTGAACAAGACGCTTAAAAGCAGGTGACAGATTTCAGGACTGGTGAGTCTGACTCGGAGTTTTGCACCATGAAGTGGAACTCTGTGAGGCTGGGGGCCTTGTTACATGCTGCACCTGAGAAGACGACACACAAAAAAAAACTATTAGATGAAAGCGATATTTAAACACCTTCCTCATTATGACTTGAGAACAAGGTGATTGCTTCTCTGCATGCTTCTGTTTAATGCATGCTGAGACCTTTCTGTCCCTGTTTTTCAGATATTTATTTGCCCTGCTGCTTCGCTCACATTATTGTGCATCTACTACAGATATAAAAAAGTGTTACTTGAAGCTGGCAAAGGGTTAAGACCTGCATTAAAATAGAGAGGCCAAGGGATATGTGGGTTTCAAAGTTTGCAGCTGTTGCCATGAGAACAAAATCTTGAGTTGGGCAGGTTTGAAGGAGCAATGGATGACAAACCTAAAAGCAGGAGATGCTTTGATGTTCGGCTGAGGATCTGGTAACCTTTGGAGAAAACATAAATCGATGGAACTAATGCAGGACCTGTGCTGTTGCTGTTTTTTTGTTTTTAAGTACTTTTCACAGATTTTCTGAATCATGAAATCGAAAATTCCCTTATTTGGTATGTCCTTTTAAACCTGAGCAGATAATGAATATCAACAATCTTTATCCTTTGGAAATGGGATGATCTATTATGAAAAAAAAATACTTTGGTTTTAAAATGTGTGGATTTTAAAGTGGTCAAGGACAAATGTTTTAACAGAATCTTTAGATCTGTCCTTGTCTTTAAGTCTACATGCATGTTCTCCTCAGAAATAATTAATATAAGGATATTTTTATGTAATCTAGGTGTTAAAATACAAAAAAATATACAAGTCATTTAATTTATGTTCAAAACTGATTTCTTGGAATTTAGATAGGGTTTTGAATTATTTATAAGTAAAAGCAAATGGATCAGTTCATTATTTTGCCAGATTACAATTAAAGCTTTTGTATACAATGGTGGATTTTTACCACCGAGAAATATTTCTTTGAGGTAAAAACTCGCCATTTTTATATTAATATTTCTTAAATTAAAAACCTGAAATAAGAAAGTAGGTCTCTGTGACAAGCTGCTACTCCTTTAAACATATTCTGACAATGAAAAACAAAGGTTGAAAAAGTCAATATCCATCCCTGAAAACTAGGCCAAAGTGTCTGATAGAAAAAAATATAACATATATTAACATCATAACACTATTAGGTGAAAATCTTTCCATTATGTTTCGTTTTTTTCCTGCTTCATCCCAGTGGGTATGCGTCATTACCTTTGGAAAGAAGTCCATTTGTGAACTCATAAACTCACCATAATGGCCTGTTGTGTTAGCACAGATTATGGCTCCAAAGAAGTCTGAGTAATGCCTCTTGATTCTGGAAATGGCCGACTTGCAGGCTACTGAGGGATCAGCCCCGTTCCTCATCAGCTCTACGGCCAAGTAGCTGTTGGCAGCAAGACATGAAGAAGACATGAGTAAAAACTAACAAGGCTGTAAAGGACCACTGACCAGGATCATGAGAGGATGCCTTTAGAATCATAATGGCCTGGATGCGATTAAAGAAAATGTATGGAGGGGAAACATCAAGAAAAATTTAATTTACAGGGATCTGCCACTGCTCTCAGTTCTGTCTGCTAGGCAGTTTAATACCCATGTCATTAACTGTAAGCCTAGGGGTAGTGTAATTTCAACCTGAAAAACTCAAACAAAGAAAGGATGCAATTAAAAGAGATTTATTGATACAATATTTAAATCTTTGGCACTCAGACCTTGGCGGGAAACATCAGCACTGAAATTTGCTTTGATTACATGCATGGCCAACCAGGCCTGAAACTGGTGTTGGAAAGGGGAATGAAGATGGAGGCCTGCTGGAATAAGGCGCAGGTGCATATGAAACCTCCATAATGAGCAAGCATGATGCGATGGTGGAGAGAAAAATGGGGTGTCTGGGTCAGATGCCGCTTGTGCCAAAGGGGATGGAGGAGGGTCATCCGAGTCGAAGTCAGACATTGCAAGCCAAATGAGCAGACGATTAGTTGAGTAGTAGCTGTGTTCTGATTCTACATGTCTTTTAAACTGGACTCTGAATGTTGAATGGACTTTGTGGAGTTGTGGTCCAATGCTGATAGGGTGGCTTCAAAGATGAGTGAGCCTCTGATGCGATGGGAATTTTCACCTGGCCTTCATAAAACAGTTACGGTTCATTGTGTTGCCCTCTTGCAGATTTCTTTGGTTTTATTACACTTTAGAGTTTCATTTTAATAAAAATTCCTCACACTAAGATGATACCAAAAGCTTTTATTGTTACTCAAGAAAAACACAAATAAACCTCACCCTGCATGAAAACATAATTTTCCTCTTGGTAAATTACCTATGAATAACCACATACAGTGGGGCCAAAAAGTATTTAGTCATCCACTGATTGTGCAAGTTCTCCTACTTAGAATAATAAGGTCTGTGATATGTATCATAGGTACAATTCAACTATTAGAGACAAAATGAGAAAAAGAAATCCAGGAAATCACATTTTAGGATTTTTAAATAATTTATTTGCAAATTATAGTAGAAAATAAGTATTTGGTCAATAACTAAAGTTCAACTCAATACTTTGTAACATACCCTTACATACCTAAATAGATACATTGATCTACTACCATTCCAGATTCCATTTTCTGCTTTTTAAACACATTTGCCTTTTTTATTATTTTTTTTTTTTATTTCTACATTAAAATCTAGTTCCAGTGGTGTGAAATAGGCACTTCCTGTTGCCCTTTGTCATGGTGACTCATCGAATTGGTGCTCCACTGATGATGGCTGTTCATACTTGTTGCGCACGCGTTTAACTGAGTTGACCTACAGTAGTTAAGATGGATTTAACAAATTGATGGTAGCCATTTTGAAACCGAACACTCAGTTCCCAACTTTAGGCAAGATCAATTTAGAGTTGCTATTTGAATCAGAATTTGTTAAACCAGCTTCATGAAACGGACTCCAGAACCTCTACTAGGAAAGAAGAACACAGAAAAGACTAAAGTGCAACTTTGTTTTGGAAAGTGTCTCCAGTGACATCTGAAGGAATCTAACAACAGAAGAAGAATTTAATAATACTGGGACTTACACACAGAAGTGGCAGTGTGATGGTCTGGGGCAACTTTGTTGCGTCAGATCCTGTGATTACATCCCATAATGGATGGAAACATCATCTTTATCTGAATGTATTTGAACTGAACCATGTCGTTGTAAAAAATAACAGGGAAAAATGTTTTTCAAAGAGCTAAATATAAATCCTCCTGTGTGAATACTTCTGAACTAACATCAAGATGCTTTTTGTTCCATGTTAGACAGGAGGGATGAAGCCGTTTAAACCAGCACATTACAGTATGTCATTAAACTCCGAACCTAGAGCAATCTCCCCTCAGCAGGCACAACAGGGAATGGTTATAAAATGTGGCTAATGGTTAGCAGGTAGGCTTGCAGTTACACCATTAGTAGGAGAAATGTGGGCATATATAAACAGTTTAGTCCAATAATAAGCAGTTGTTTTAGAAAGCAAGTAAAAAAACAACAACAGTAATTTAAACAGATAGCCCTCAGTTCACCAAACTGACCCTGAAAAAATTAAAGCTGTAACATAACAAAAAAAAAAAAAAAGGTAAAATCTCAGTTCTTTTGAGAAATGTGCAGATGACAGTTTTGGGGCGATATAGCGTTGTCTCCTTTTTTTTTCTTCCTTCTCACACTATTTATGCACATGGTGTTCGAGGGGTGACACTAGAAGCTGACTGTTTAAAATACACACGTCACAAATGTCGATTCTCTTTGAGCATTTTTTTTTTTTTTGCTGCTGACGTGAAGCAAGAAAACAACACATCACAGTCCTATTTTTCAATAGCTGAAGTACAAAAAGCAGATGTCAGGACACAGATGGATGCAGCCAACATGTTTAAGGCAGATCAGCTGCAAGTAAACTAGAATAGCTAGAAAACGTGAGTTCACAGCAAACTGACTATTTTTTTTAGAGACTACGCTATGGATGCTGGATTTTCACCTTTAAGATATGGCGAGGTGAGAAGGTATTAACACCCTTTGAATCTCTTTTCAGAACCTTATTTTCATGTTCTATACCAGAGCTACAGTATGAAAGGAGAGAAATATCAACCTAACTTCCCTTCCTTATAGTAAAACACAACATCTACTGTGATGATTATTCAGCAGGTACCAAATTTTTTTAAAGACAGTGATAGAAATTCACCTTCTACTATAACCAAGGATGCAAATTTTATCTGTATTGGTTATTATTAGCTTTAAAACTAAATATCAAACGTCACCATAACACCAGTGTCACTCGCCGATATTAAAGGCACTGTTTTTGTGACAAGCGTGGATCATGCCTGTAGCACCAGCAGGTCATGTGGACCCAAATGATGCCTGAGTCTGCAAGGGAGAGCTGTTGAAGTCAAAATACTGACAGTGAGTTTATTTTTTAACTGCAGACACAGATAGCCAAAATGCTATTTGCAATGACTATACAGGATAGGAGGAGAAAACTATATAGTGTTTTTAAGAAGGTCTAAAGCAAAAAATATCTATGTTAGTTTCCGGTCACTTCACTGCAAAACATGTAAATCTAAGTAAGTCAGACACTTCGCTAATGGAATAAGACATTTTACTTCTAAAATAAGAAAAAAAAAACAACAGCTGTCTCATTTAAAGAGTATGATATATAATTATCTAATTTTAAGGGTAAAAATACTAATTTCATTGGCAGACCATCTTATTTACCTACTCAAATTAAGGATTAATACAATTATTTTAAGATATTTTTACAAATTTTTAGATTGTTTTTGAAGTATAAAGTTATAAAATATCAGCATAATTGAAATCTGTCAAAATTTCAATATCATGCATCCCTAAACATAACTGCAACCCTAAGAAAAACATAGGGATTCAGATCTTAATGTTTCTGTGTTAGAAAGGCCCAATCTAAGTGATAACTGATCTGAAATCACTTAAGAATATATGGCAAGACTTGCAAATCTGTGACCGGATATTCAAATCATGCCATATAAAGTACAGACTTGGGGAGGGCTTAATTCTGACTGAAAAAAGTAGAAGTTCTACTAAACATGTCTCGAATGCTATCCTGCTGATTGAATGAAACAGATTTGGTTTATTTTTTTAATTGGGAGAACAATAAAAAGTTACCTCGGTAGAAAGCGCATCATGATGTCTCCGTCTCCAGTTGCGGCGGCGGCACCAGCTGAACTGTCTGCATAGGCTCCTGCTCCGATGATGGGGGAGTCCCCCACGCGGCTGAAGGATGCCACAAAGGAACCAGATATGAAAATCCAAGTATTACAGAAATACAAACACCACATTTTACATTTTATTGTTCTTATTTGTAAAAAATCTCAAAGTTTGATGTCACTATAACTTCAACCTTTCTTAGTATCGTGAGCAAATATAAAATGATGGGAGCAGTTTTCAAATCATCAGTCTCCTGTGGGAGAGTGGAGCAAATGTTAAAGCCAAAATAAATGTGCTATCACACTCAAACATCAACCTTAAGTTTGAACTGAGTCTGCTGGGTTTTAAAAGACGGATCTACATGCAGCCTCAGGTTCTAATGCTTCTCAAAAAAAAATATTTATGTAAGATATAGAGAGACCAGCTGTCAGGATAAAATGTGACGTACATTTTTATTAGTGTGAAGATGCAGGAAAACTGCCTTTGAAGGAGAATTTTCTGCTCAAACACATCACTTGTTACCATAATTTCTCCAAAGCGGTGTTCCTACATACATTTATAGCAGACACATGCTTTAAAACGATGCCTTCGCTCATTTCCTGACAGACTTAAAAGGCCGTTGATGCAGCTTACACAGAATCCTAACTGAATTTTTTACTGCTTTGCACGTTAAAGGGAAGAAAATCCACATCAACTGCATGTATAGTTAATGCACACAAGGGCATTGAAGTGTTCAAGAAACATTCAAAGTCATGTAAATATGAAGTGTTTACATCTGAGGCTCACATAAACAGATGAGTTTATCTCACCATTCAGTTCGTATGAATTATCCAGTGTAAAATTAGTATGAGTTAAAAACTAACCAGCTGGACCACTGTTAGGCCCTGAATCTTGAGTTAGTCTGTAGTCTTGTTCAAATAATGCAGAGTTTTTGTAAGTTTAAGACAGGATTACCAAAGGAAATGAAACATTATTCTCCATCAGTATTTTTTTTCTAAAACGTTACCTTTGATCAAACTCTACTAACATCTTCTTTTGGTCAATCCATGTTTAGCACTGAATGATGCTTTGTTTTCAGTTTTTAAAATCTTCCCAAGCATAAAATACAAACTCTGCTCATTTCTCTTGTTCAACAGTTATAAATATTATTCAGAGAGTCAAAGTCTAAAGGCGTGAGAAAATGTGATTGAAAAAATTCTCACAGCGGCTCTCTGAAAACAAATATGGTGCAGGGCAAACACACATTTCTAAGTGTTTACAATTAGAGGAGCCATACTCTAATTCTTTTTTTTTTTTTTTTTTTCCTACAGCTCGGTCAAAAACTTCTGATCTAATTCATACTGCATTTCTGAGTCAGTATGAATTCCTTAAAAAAATAAATAAATACCCACTCTGAGAGAGAAGCATTTTTCATTTCAGATCAATGTTGTTAGAAAGTTTAGAATCATTCTAGAGGAAGGCCAAGAGAGGTTTAAAAAGAATTTTTCAATTTTGTGGTGGCCAGAAGCAATGTGTGAGTCTTTGTCTGTTTTAGAGATAAAGAAGGAAGAAAATATGCTGAGAAATTGACTTTATAGAATTTACGCACCCTGGAACTTTGTGAGTCAGTCCGTTGGTCGACGTTCCAGCTGCCATGTGACCATCTTTATCAATGGCAATCAACCCTGGTGCAAAAACAAGCATTATAAGTAAACAGATGCTTTCTGGTATTAGCTCAAATTTTTGTATTTAAATGATCATAAAGCTCTTTTATGAAGTGTTGCAGAAACAGATGCTGTCTGTTTTACACAGACAGCTTCCAAGAGAGGAACAAGGGAAATTAGCGCACCTTGACATCTGAAGCAATACAGAACACAATTATTTAACCATGTAAGGTAGAACGCTGTCTCATTTCCCTCCTACCTATGGTATCATGGGAGTGTATGTTAACGTGCCGGACTCCATTACACTGTGTTTGCATTGCCACTGGCCCGTAGGGTCCACACGACTTCAGAGGATCTGGATTGACGTTCTGTTGAAAGATGATGGCAGGGATCATTTCTTACATCATGCTTTCATTCTGGGACTCAAACTGAGAGTTTCAACCATTGACACTAAAAACCAATGAGCAGGGTTTTTTTTTTTTTTTTTTCCTCGAAGACTGTTTTTGAACTGAAGCATAATTAAATATGTCTTTTTTTAGCAGTCAGGTCTCATTTACTGCAACCCAGAGCACCTCCAGATTTGCTCAAAGGGATGTTAGGAATTGTCTCAGACAGTACTGAGAGCAGAGAGAAGGTGGAGCATTTCAGTTTGATCTGCAGAGAAGTGTGATCAGTTTATTTTTGTTTAATTAATACAGAAGTTATGTTCAATCCTGATAAAAACAAGAGTCCAATTTAAGTATTAATGGAAAATATATCTTGTTATACTGCAGCCTTACTACACAGAATTATTTTTTCTTGAGGTTTTCTGTTTGAAGGAAAATTTTAAAAATCTGTTTTTGTATTTAGCCACCCTGAGTAGATACTTTGCATAGCCACATATGGCAGCAGGTCTTTCAGGGTATGCCTCTGCAGGTTTGCACCTTCTTTTTTTTAAACAACTAGTCTTGTAGAAGTGGACTTTGGAGAAATGTAAGGATTAATGAATGAATTAGTCCTTATGTTAGACTATAATCTTGAACAGAAAAAAAAGAAAAATACAAAAGAAAAGCATGTACTTTGACTGAGCCATTAGAAACAGGAACATTGGCTGTGCAGAGAGCATTCACATAATCAGCTTATATGAAGCTACGTTTATTGTTGCTCTAGGTGAGCATTAAGTGAGGTTCTCACCTGAAAAATTAAACAGATAAAGCAAGGTTGGACTGCACACAGTCTGTCACTGGCTTCAATTCAGAAAGTTCCCATCTTGTCTGATTTACAAAACAAGCCAAGAAAACAGCACTCCATCATCAGCCAAGGTTTTTAGAAAGGCTACAAACTGGAAAAGTTAGAACAGTCTGAAAGGTTCAGTTGAATCCATTTCTTCTGTATGTTTAGTTAGTGAAGTTGTATTTTATCATTTGGAGGCATTGAATTGTCACAGGTGTTTGCGGGTATTCATGACAACAGCATGTCTTAATTTGCAAACTTAGGACGTTCTCCTTTGTTAGGATGAATTCCATGTTTGGATTTTCTCAGGGAGATGTGAAGATGTATAAAATGCTTCTTTAACTGTTATTTTGGGCCAACTTCCTAAAGAGGCAAGTCTGATATCAGTGCTTCCATTGTACCCGTGCAACCTATCTGGTCTGAGTAAGATTAAATTCTGTTAAACCTGCCATAATGTTTTATAGTCATTCAATTAATATAGTGGCCTTGCAGCTGATGTCACAGACTTATTAAACATTTTAATCTAGCCACTGCCATATTGAGTACCTGCTCTGGTCCCCTGCACGTCAAAGATATTGTCACAACATCTGCATGTTGCGACAATAAAAGAGATGACCCACATATTTCTTTTTACCGTACCTCTTACCAAAAGAAAAATGATCGTGCGATCAGAAGGGCTGACTGGACGCTGACTGCAAGTGGCTGTCTGTGCAGTATACATTGCATAACAGGCAAGTTTCAATACTTGTAAGGAGAGCCAGCTTAGGCTTTTACCAACTGGATTTAATGTTTTGTACAGTTTTTTCTAGTGTTGCGTCAATGCCATTTTTTGGCCCCCATACCTGACTGTGCAGTATCGGCTAATACCATACCAGTACCATCTGTTTGAAATTGATGTGTGTGTATATATGAAGAACTGCAAACTACTTGGATGTATAATAATTGCTATCATGGCTTTGTCAAGCTGCTGCCTACCTTTGTGAAGCAGGAAAAAGACTAATACAAAGTGAATCCAGTAGAACTTTTTATGGCCTACCTGGAATGGGTGACAATAGTTTAATAAACTTTTGGCCCTCAAAAGGGTATCGGTGCCCTATTTGTTGGTACTTGCTGATACCGATACCACCATTTTAGTGCTGGATCGGGGCTACAGAAATTATACTTTTGTTTAGCTGTTTACATAAAGTAAGCATAAAGATGATCAGAACACGGCATCCCTATGCTTTTTACATACAAATATCTTCTTGTTTTACAGATACCCTATTTCTGGGTTAATAACCCAGCCAGCTGTGAAATACTGATAGGAATCTGTGCTTTCAAAAGCTTTCGGACTTTCTCTGGTGTATGAGGAAGGGTTGTGTATATGATATATATCAGTTGTGAAAAGAAAAATCTGGAACCCTGTCAGCTGAAGTAAGGTGTTGAAAAAAGTCATTAGGGACTTTGTATGGATCGCATCCAATCACACGGATTTTCTCTGTGTTTCGTTTAAGCTAATATGGATTTAAATTAGATTGATCCACTGTGGTCAGAGGGGAAGCACCACAGAGCTAAGCTAAGTGTTCGGTACTCAATATGGCTGTGGTACGGTAGAAAGCTTCATGACGTAACCCTTCAGGACGCATCTATTAGACAGTGATATTTAAAGTGTTCCCAATTATGTTTTCTCAGGAAAAAATTGGGGAGCCAAAGCTTCAAGGTGTAAATACAATAATCTTTCTTTTTACAATTTTATTGCTCCTCGTTCTTCTAAAAGGGGAAATTTTGTCCCAGTCTTCAGTTTTCGACAGCTTCTGTTTTCTTTTTCCCCTGGACTGTGCTGTATTAAGCTAGCCTGGCTAGCCAGACTGACTTAAAACTGGGCATGAGTCAGTCTCGTACGGCTCAAATGGTCTAAAGAAGACTGGACCAATCACATTGTAGGAGGAAGGAGTTTAGGTTTGCACCAGAATTACCCATAATGCAACAGTGCTTTTCTGTAACCATAACAATGAACACTGCAGCCGCAACCTTGCAATGCTTTTTATTAAGTTCTGAATGAGCCAGATATATATTTAAAAGTTCAAAAACTTACTGTTGTAAGAGGTTTCCTTAAAAAAAAAAAAAAAAAATGTTGCGTCATACACTATATTGCCAAAAGTATTTGCTCACCTGCCTTGACTCACATATGAGCTTAAGTGACATCCCGTTCCTAATCCATAGGGTTCAATATGACGTCGGTCCACCCTTTGCAGCTAGAACAGCTTCAACTCTTCTGGGAAGGCTGTCCACAAGGTTTAGGAGTGTGTTTATGGGAATTTTTGACCATTCTTCCAGAAGCGCATTTGTGAGGTCGCACACTGATGTTGGACGAGAAGGCCTGGCTCTCAGTCTCCGCTCTAATTCATCCCAAAGGTGTTCTATCGGGTTGAGGTCAGGACTCTGTGCAGGCCAGTCAAGTTCATCCACACCAGACTCTGTCATCCATGTCTTTATGGACCTTGCTTTGTGCACTGGTGCACAGTCATGTTGGAAGAGGAAGGGGCCAGCTCCAAACTGTTCCCACAAAGTTGGGAGCATGGAATTGTCCAAAATGTCTTGGTATGCTGAAGCATTCAGAGTTCCTTTCACTGGAACTAAGGGGCCAAGCCCAGCTCCTGAAAAACAACCCCACACCATAATCCCCCCTCCACCAAACTTTACACTTGGCACAATGCAGTCAGACAAGTACCGTTCTCCTGGCAACCGCCAAACCCAGACCCGTCCATCAGATTGCCAGATGGAGAAGCGCGATTCGTCACTCCAGAGAACGCGTCTCCACTGCTCTAGAGTCCAGTGGCGGCGTGCTTTACACCACCGCATCCGACGCTTTGCATTGCACTTGGTGATGTATGGCTTGGATGCAGCTGCTCGACCATGGAAACCCATTCCATGAAGCTCTCTGCGCACTGTTCTTGAGCTAATCTGAAGGCCACATGAAGTTTGGAGGTCTGTAGTGATTGACTCTGCAGAAAGTTGGCGACCTCTTCGCACTATGCGCTTCAGCATCCGCTGACCCCGCTCCGTCAGTTTACGTGGCCTACCACTTCGTGGCTGAGTTGCTGTCGTTCCCAAACACTTCCATTTTCTTATAATACAGCTGACAGTTGACTGTGGAATATTTAGGAGCGAGGAAATTTCACGACTGGATTTGTTGCACAGGTGGCATCCTATCACAGTTCCACGCTGGAATTCACTGAGCTCCTGAGAGCGACCCATTCTTTCACAAATGTTTGTAAAAACAGTCTGCATGCCTAGGTGCTTGAATTTATACACCTGTGGCCATGGAAGTGATTGGAACACCTGATTCCAATAATTTGGATGGGTGAGCAAATACTTTTGGCAATATAGTGTATCTGAAGTTATATGGTTACTGGTTCTAACCCGTTTCCTCTGACTCTCTTAGTTCTCCCTTTGAAATCTGGAACTACAAGCTCTTTTACAGAATGATAGATCATGTATTTGACATAAGTCTTCATCTATCTTTATCATCATACATCAACTTTGATAGCCTTGCCTGGTCATGCTGAGAAAATGCATCCCTATACCATGAAGCTGTCACCACCATGTTTCATGATGGTTTACAATGAGTTATGTAATCCTCCACATTTTTGCATTTAGGCCAGAAGGTTAGATTCTGTCTTATTTGACTTTCAGATACAACTTACATTTATACTACTTACTGTGCCATTTTGTACTGCTCTATCATAAAAAATCCCAATAGTATGCTTTATGAGAAGCTTAACACTGTGCTCTTATTTTATGATTGATATATAAATGCATCGTTCTATATTAATTCAAAAGAAATCAAGCTTTCACATTCAAGAGTTTAATGGTTCCATTTATTTCCCTTTCTATACTTTCGACATTTCCATCCATTCAGCCTCTGACTAGAGGTTTTCTGCACTGCAATTTTTTTTTTTTTTCCAATAATAGCTCTACAAACTTTATAGCCACAAGTTCTCTCTCCTAAAAGTATGACTGGAGTGAATTTGATCAATGAACACTGGATGATATCTGGATACGTAACGCCTCCCTGATTCTATAGATGTTGTGACATTGTTGTGGAAATGAAGAGGATTCTTTTGAAGAAAAGCAAAAGCTTGGTGCTTTAGGGCATCACCTTTACCACAAAAACTGACTCTTTTTTTTCGGAGGTACTTTAGTATGCCTGTCAATTTTCCCTTTTGAAATCAATCTTTTAGAAGCAATATGCCTGTGGCAGACACAAGCCAGGGAAAACAGACTCGCACACATGCACTTACCTTTCGATAATTAGGTTGGCAGTTGCCCTTGAGCCACTGAGTGAAAACATTCAAAGATTTGTTGGTAGTAAGGTCTTCTGCAACAAAGCCCATGTTCTCAGCGAACACAGAGGCTACAAAGAGAGAGGAAACGCACAGGTCAAGTTGCACATATGAGACCACTCTGACCTTAGGACAGGACTTGAAAAGCGTCATAGACAAAAAAGGGACTGCAAGCAATTTTAGCTCATTTCAGTCTCAGTTCATCTGATTTTCAAAGAGCCTCTGCTTTGAAAGGTTGTCATCATACAACTTCCTGAGAATAGCATAGCTGTTCTGATGATTTATTCATCTCATGGATTTCATGACATACAAACCAAATCATTAAATATCCAAGATGTACAGTGGTGTTCAAAATAATACAAGTGTTTTTTTGTTTGTTTTTTTGCTTTGATATGCTCAATTTAACGGCTTTAATGGCATTAAGAACACTGCTCTAAACCACGCATTTTTTTTCTTATTGTTCTAAAGAAGGTTAGGGGAATTTAAGTTTAGGACTGATTTATCATTTAAATCCCTAAACTTACACTCGGTCGACTCCAACAAACCCTCATAACAACCAGTTGTTATGCAACTTACAAGTGCACTGTTATGGGTGATGGGACTAGCTTACATGGTTCCTCAGCATTTCTTGGTTTTGCCTCAGAAATAGCATCCTTGATGCTATGTAACAAATGTTCACATGGATCAATGTCAAGTTCTATAAAGTTAATCTTATTGGCCAGCACCAAGGTGGTGTTCCCTTTCTTGTGTCTTTGGGGTTGAAATAGGGCTGTGGAATATGGTTGAAAAATATTTTGTGATATCAGCCTTTCATTTCAGTCCATATCAATAATTATTGATTTGTTTTTGTTTTTTTGTTTAACCTGTTTGAAAGACATACCGGAGGAAAAAAGCTGAATTTAGACTGCAGCCCTAACCATTTTTAAATGTAAGCTTTCACCCTTAAAAAGAGGTCGGCCCTACCACCTACCTTGCTTATTTGTAAAAAAAAAAAATAGTATATCTGTAAAACACTGTTGCTTAGATTTAATACTCTGGAACATCTCTGTTTTTCTTCTGTGTCTTTGTGAGTTTGGTTTCCAGTTTAAAATGTGTGATTACTTTACTAGAGCAGTCCATCATTTTCCACCCTTCTTTATATGTTTTCTCCTCTCCAGTCAAAACTGTTTTCTAAACGATGCCTGAAGAAATAATTTTAAAATACTGAAGATAATTTGTCAAAAAAATAAAGTATGGGACATATGGTACTAAACATAAAACGTAATAATTTCAATCTATCTAGGTAAAACATCAAGTCACAGTTTTCTTGGTTATTTGGGACTTTTCATTTGCTTAGAAGCAGAGACTTGAGACATCTTCAGTTTCTCATCAAGAATCTCCCAGAACATTTTCCACTCATCCTTCCTTCAGTTACCGTATTTTACGGACTATAAAGCGCACCTCACTATAAGCCGTACCCAGATTAGGGACGAAGATGAATGCTAGCTCCCATGAGCTTTTTGGCTTGCGGCGGTAAAAGCTTCTAATTAAAGTCGAAGCTTACCCATCAAAGTTAGGGGGCGGGGTTAACGCGAATCGAGTCGCCACCTACTGTATCAGAGTATGTTCACAACCTGTGGATCACAGTCTCTGTAATCGATTTGCTTCGCCTTAATGTGTAGGGTGACCAATCAGGTGTTAGATAACCGCCCCCTAACTTTGATGGGTGAGTTTGACAGATTCTTTTAATGGTTTCGATGCACTGCAGCACAGGAGCATGAAATAATTAAATGCACACTGAAATAATTATATATTTTTTTTTTATAAAATGAAGACGTATTTTATTAAATTAATGACACATTTATATATTTAATTCCTTATTTATTTAATGAATTACACATTTAATTAATTGTTTATCGCTGTATTTATTTAATTGTGGCACTTTATATTAGTGACGTGGTTTTAATTAATGAATGACATTTATTTATTTAATTCCACATTTAATTAATTATTGACACATTTAATTATTTATTTAATGCTGTATTTATTTATTTAAATTTGGCACTTTTTATCCTCAATAGCTGCTAGCATGTTGTCCGAAATTAAAATTAGCCACTTATTCTTTTATTTCCAACTTTGACTTCCACCCCAGGCAGTTAGGAAACATACACAGAAAGGCTGCACCTTTGTATAAGCTGCATGGTTTAAAGCGTAAGAAAAAAGTAGCAGCTTATAGTCAATCACATAGGGTATATCAATTATGCCTATGCTATAAGCTGTAATACTTCTTAGAAGGGGCGAAAAATGTCAGTAACGCTACTAGAAAGCGTTTGAAAATGGGGTCGAGTACAGCCAAGCCCCATGGAGCTGGTGAGATGGAGCAAAGGTGTGTTGTCTGTGTAACTCTTCAGGAATGAGAAGCCACCAGTTAAAGTGTAAACGGTGAATATTAATTTGCACATACTAAAAGGGAAGCCATCAAAATATGTGACAGATCAGATGGTTTCTTGGCTTTCTAAACCTTTTTACACATTTGTTTTTCCTTACATGTTCAACACTTATTCCTTGTTTCTTTCCTAATTAATCCATATGGGAATAGATTTGTTTTCATTTTTTTTTGCAAGTTACATAACTTGCATTTTTTGAGACATCTGGTTTGAGTTCCATCTCATTTTAAATTTCAAAATATTTTCTTTTGAAAACATTGACAAAGGTTTCACACTAATTTTACCAGCTGAATGTAATCTGGTTTGTTATATTTAACTGCTGATATTTTGAACCAAACTGTACAAAAAGGCTTTAGTGATAAAGTCTTCAGTTTCCGTTCATAGCCCTCTTCTCATCCACTACATAAATGCAGCTCTTGAACATCTTTTTGCACAACCGGTGCACAATTATGCTTCTCAAGCCCAGGAGACTATATAACCCATGTGTTTTTCACTTACTGCTAATGATTGTCATTTCATTTAAAAGCCTATGCAGTGTCTAAAAAGGTTTGGGTCCTAATGTAATAAGTGCCTAATTGAGATCATTAATGCAGATTCAAGTGTCCCCTGATAGTGAAAGTGTTTTCTTTTAGACTTTAAAGAAATATACTGAAGCAAGCCGTTATGTTGAAAATTAGCATTTTACAAACTGTGTGTTGTTCAAATAAATGAGTCCATTATAGCTGGCTATATCACCCAGGGTGTATGAACAGCAATACTCACATACCTGACTCTCCCACTAGCATTGTATGTTCAGTGCGCTCCATCACAGCTCTGGCAACTCCAATAGCATTTTTGATTCTTCTCAGGTCTGCCACTGCACCCACCTCCATCGTATTACTACTCGGAGAGCGCACACAGATAAGAAACACTCCTCTTGGTTTACTGCAGCCAAATATCATCTGTGAGTAACATATCTCCGTTATTAATCATCGTTGGGGAGGATTACAAAGATCATGTTTCATGTTTACCAAAAAGAAAAAAACGGCTTGTATCTGAAGAGTTTACATAGATTTTTTTTTCTTCTTACAGATCTTGTACTTATCATTTGACTGCTACTGGATGGTCATGGAGGCGTTTGTTTAGAGCTGTGCTCTTATGAATGTAGAATGTTTGCTGGTGGTTATTGGATTTCTTCTGCTTGTGTATTGAATTTGGTAAAAAGGATATTCTCTATCCGCAACACCGTATAACAATCTGAATGTACTTGATACATATACATGGAAAAACAGCAATCATCTTAACATTTTACAGTACTAAAAACAAGTTGTTTTTTTGTGGGAGGTATCTGCTGTTGGGATGGCCTAGGTGTCTCTGCATTATGGGAATGGGACAGTGTTGTCTTGGCTCTACCTTTCCCATAAGTCACCCAAAATAGTTAGACAATCCTGAGCTATTTTCTATATTAATGCTGCTATAGGTTTCAGCTACTGGAGCGCGTAGGGTCCACTTTTCATTATTCAGCTTCATTCTATCTCTATTCTCCCATATTGGTTAGGTCCTTTTATAACTCTACTGTATGTTGTCTTTGCCTTTTGTTGTCATAGTAGCTAAATGTGTTCAGTTCCTGTTAAACTGTGACTCCATCCTGGATTGAAATATCAGCTGGACTGCTGCCATCATCACCTTTGTTTATAGATGTTGAAGTTGGGCCTATTTTGTCAGTGTAGACCTGTTTCTTGTATTGCGAACAAAGTGTATGTGCCCTGTTAATTCTCTGACAAAAGAATTGGCTCAGAGCTGTGAAGCTGGTTGACAGTGGCCTTTTGTATCTCTCCTTCTTTCTGTGTGTCTGCTTCTGTCTCCTTGAACCACAGTTGGCCTCAACAAAAGGCCGCTCACACTGAGCCTGGTTCTGCTGGAGTTTCTTCCCGTTTAAAGACAGTTTTTCCTCTCCACTGTCAAAGATATCCTGAATGTTATTCAGGACGGACAATAATTTCTTTACAGTTTTTCATAATCTGTTGATCATGGCGATATATATGGGGCAAATAATAAGATGCCTAGAGATGATTATATTTCAACACCCTGGAAAGAAGGACCTTATAGGCGTCCACTGTGTAGTAAAATTTTTCTAGATGCATGATGCGGAAAAATCAGGCCACACAGACAGCGTTTAAAGGGGTGTGGGTGCTAAAGGAATGTAATTTGGCCATACGTACCTTGTGTACACTCCATGTATAAACCAGGCTTTAACCTCTCAAATGTTAGCTCACTGGGTGGGTGCTAACATTCCTCCCCACCTTCATTTCTTTCGGTGTGAGTAATAAGAGGGACTGGGTCTCAGGCTTGCCCTGTGTGGTTACAGATGGCAGTATGGCTGGTTGGTTGGCCTGGGGCCGTGCCCCCTGTGCCTCGCTAACCACTAACCTCTTTGCAGTGCATATGGCCTCCGCCTTGGTTGATATCTAGTCTGTCTGCCTCGGGTTGCAGCAGTCTTCAAGAGTCAAGTCTGCCTATTTTTTTGCTCTTCTTGGGTTCTCTGTGTTGCATACCTTCTACTGTTCTTACCACTCTCAGCACTGTGCAGTTGACAAACTAACTCACATAACACACAGGACACAAACACATTTATTTCTACAAGAACACACAAGTAAACTAGATTGCTGAAGGTCACAAATACCCAGGCAACAATTACATCAATTCTACTTTGATATTGTATCCAGGCTTGATTTAATTAAGTCGATCACAATATTAGGATTTGGTCTTAAGATGTGCTTTTTGTAGAATAAATGTTATGTCACATGTAGGCAACCAGCTTCTCTATATGGTATGCCTGAAATGCCTCAATGGGACATGTGAAGAAATATATAACTGTAACAAAAAAGGGTAAAATTTGAGGGAAAATTAAAGTGTGAGTATTCACTAAAGAAAGAGTAAACAGCTTGCTACTTATCTTTTGTCGTAAGCTGACATTTACTTCTCATTATAACTTCTGAGCCTCTAAATGTTAGTATTTAAGGAACTCATAATTGGAACGCTTTTAGATCATAATGAGACTCTTAATTAGGACTTCCCTGCAGAAGGCTTGAAGGAAAGGTCAGCTAGTTAAGTGTGTAAATGTTAAAGATACATGGAAAGAAGCAGCGCAATTTGCAGAAAACTAAATAAATAAAAGAATAAGAAAAGTTAGATGTTGATGGTTGCCTGTAGCCCATTGGCATTTAAAGGTTTGAGTCATATAAACACAAGTTCTGATTTTCAGCAGCTTTACAAAATGCTCTCTGTTGATTTATATGGATTAAACCTGTTTTAGTAAGTAGTAAGTTAGTAAGGATTATTTATTTAGCCCCTTACTCTGGCAAGCATCACAAAGTGCTGTACAATATGAGGCATAGAATACCAACAGCACCGTATAAAATACATGTAGACAAAATAAATACAATCATAGCAGCCCTTGATAACATTTGTCTAAAATGCTTTGTTAAAAAATAATGTTTTTAGTTGTTTTTTAACATCTACGCAGTTCACCAAGTGGAGGTAAAGTGTTAGAGCATTCCACAGTCTGAGTGCGACATCTTGAAAGGACCTATCACCTCTCGTCTAAAACTGGTTCGGGGGACCATTAAGTTCTGTTCAGCAGAACTCAGGCTGCCTGGAAAAGTAAGGCTGAATCAAGTCACAAATGTAAGAGGGAGCCTGTCCATTCAGGGCTCTGATGGTCAGGACCAAAATTTTAAAGTTATTGCATTATTCAATGGGAAGCCAGTGTAGGGCTTTGAGGACAAGAGTTATGTGAGCTCTTCTGGTTCTATGTGTGAAGATCTTTGCTGCAGAATTTTGCACTAACTGCAATCAACCTATGCCTTTTTTGTTTAGAGAATTAAACAGGCTATTGCAGTAGTAAACATGATGACACAAATGCATGAATGAGGACAGCATCTTTAGAAAATGCTTTCTGTTGATTTAAATAGATTTCCCCCTCAGATCATAGAGTATTGAAGCATAATGTTTGAAAACAAAGCTGCATTGAACTAGTTATGTTTTAGCAGCTTGTCATGTTGTGCAAATGGCAGCTAAATAATAAACCAGTTACATTCTGCTGACAGATACTGCCTATCATGCCAAACTTCACTTGTAAATCTGTCGGCTTTCCAAATGATTTTACCAGCACAGTGTCTGTTCATTACCCGTTCATGATCAAGGCGTCCAGCGTGGTTTCTCCAGTCTCATCCGGGCTGCCGCCAAAGCCGACAGTGCCATCGCACTGTTCTATTTCACAGCGGGCACAGCCTTTCTCCACTGCGTCCAACACTAAGCCGCTGGACTGCAGGGCATCCCATGCTGCACATAAAAACAACCAATCAGCATGTAGGGTCACAAATCTGTTTAAGGGTGAGCTGTCAGAGACTGTTTAAGATGCCATAAACAACAAGCTGCAGTTTAGATACCCTGTGAGACAAAGGTTTACACACCAGTGTTAAAATAAAAGATTAGAAACTATTTTATAAGTTGGCTTTCAAACAGTGACTGATTTTTAGATCAAAAACAGGAAACATTTGTTTGCGGTTTTTAAAATCTTAAAGTCAAATTTTAATGTTAGGGGAGAGCATATATTCATTGATACATTTGAGGTATATGATTAAATGTGTAAACTAAACTTTTAGAGATATCATTTAATATAATTCATCATTATTCTGAAGAAGCTAATGTGTATAATCTTTAAGAGTATTATTTGTGATTTTGGGGTTGTAAGAAGTCACAGCCATAACGGTGAAATGAGAAATAAGGCAAAGATGTTTTGTTTTTTTATCGTAACTTTTATCACAATAATATTACCTCATGATTAGGTATTAAGTGCATAACACCCAGCCCTACTAAATATACAATAGAAAAATATTAATGGGCTGTAAACATTACAACCACAAACTTCAGTAAGTTTTCTATAATACAGCAACAGTTTGTTTTTCACAGCCTCAGACCAGTGGTGGGTAGTAAGGGCCTTCAAAGTCTTCACCACTGGCATAAAATCAATCAGAAACACTAACCTAAATTCACAACCTAAACTTTAATTTTCTTCTATCTAACTATTAATTTATTTCAAACAATTCATTCTCTTAATTTTTTTGGCTGTGCTGCTTCCATTTCATTTATGGTGGTTGTTATATTTTGAGTCCAATCAGAATTCAGACTTGCGTTGCTATGTCAATCAAATCTGCCCAGGGCCTTCAGAATCAGCAGTGCTGGCTGATCTTACCCTAACAATATTAATGAGGAACGTTTTCTTAAACCAATCAGATTTGCCTCACTGGGCCAGCGAGCGGCCCACCCCACGTCAGCATTTTCTGTCCTCTGATTGGTCAGGTAGAACATAATGTTTACAGTCATGTTAAGCTAGAGATAATCTGCATTTTAGATTCACTTCTGTTAAAAGATTTTCTGGCCTCAATGACTGATACTACATGGAGATACTAAGACTTCCTGCACAAAGGCAGAAGGATGGATTCTGTTTGGTGTGTGTGATATATTTTACTTTCATGCTTTATGTGCCATTTTATCTAGTAATTAAATGCATATTAAATCTGAATGGCTTCTGATGATATATTTGGACATCAAGGGATAAACAGTAGGTTTAAGTTGAGGGGTACCTACTAAAGGCCTAGGTACCATATGCACCACCGGCTACTGCCTCAGATACATCTTCTCCCAGTAAATCTGTAAATATAGCTCCCTCGATCTATTCATTGGTTCTGATCAGCCTCTCTGTCCCTACTGTAAAAAAAATAAACCCAACTGCATGATGCTGCCACCACGGTGTCCCACAGAGGAAATGGCATATTCCATGAGTTGTGATGTACGTTTATTTATGTTTAGTTTGTCTGTGACATGTCGATTTTTGCACGTATGTGCCAATGCAATTTTGGTAATAGAAATCTGTCTGTCAGCCAAAAAAAGGAATATTTGGATTAAATCTGTCTGCATGTAAAATGTCTGATATTAGCATATGGCTCCATCAGTCTGTGCATCTTTTAGTGAGCTTCTCACATAAATGTTTCTAATTTATGAAGTTTTATTTCATGCAACTGTAAAATATTTTTTTTGTTTAAGATGAAAGTTTAGTTTGATAATTGAAGATCTATTCTCTCATTATTGTGATTCCTCGTTGTAGTGATAAAAAAAACATCTATTTGCATAGTGTGTTAAAATATATTTTGTTCTTTTTGTACAAGGCAAGGTTGACATTTGATTGAAATTAGCCTTATGTCCCCCTGTTGATCTCTTTTTAAGAAATATAATTTGAGCAAACATGTTTAAGTAAGTAAGTAGTAAATTAGTAAGGATAATTTATTGAGCCTCTTTCTCAGACAAGCATCACAAAGTGCTGTACAATATGAGGCATAGAATACAAATTAGCACCATATAAAATACATGTAGATAAAATAAATACAATCATAGCAGCCCTTAATAACATGAGTCTAAAATGCTTTGTTAAAAAAGAATGTTTTTAGTTGTTCACCAAGTGCAGGTAAAGTAGTAGAGCATTCCATAGTCTGGGAGCGACATCTTCAAAGGACATATCACCTCTCGTCATAAAACGGGTTCGAGGGACCATTAACAAGTTCTGTTCAGCAGACCTCAGACTGCAAGCAGAAAAGTGAGGTTGAATCAAGTCGCAAATGTAAGAGGGAGCCTGTTAATGCAGGGCTCTGAAGATCGGAACCAAAATTTTAAAGTTATTGCGTTATTCAATGGGAAGCCAGTGTAGGGCTTGGAGGACAAGAGTTATCTGAGCTCTTCTGGTTCTATGTGTCAAGATCTTTGCTGCAGAATTCTGCAGTAGCTGCAATCGATATAGGCCTTTTTTGTTCAGACAAGGTTTTTTTCATAAACTTTATTTCTGAGTTTTGCGATGATACGTAGTGTAAAGAAGAAGGTTTTTATTATTGTTTTGTGTGTTGCTTCAGAGACATTGCCTCAGCAAATAAAACTCCGGTTTCTCAGAGTGTCTTTTGTCACCTAGTTGAAGTCACCTGACTGCTGCTTAATGCCAGGAATGGCTTTGTCTGGGGCTATAATGAGTGTCTCAGTGTTTTCCGAGTTCTGTTGTAGACTATTGTCACTCAATCATTTCTTTATTCGGGACCAACATTTGATTACAGAGTTTAATTTGTGGGCCTCAAATTAAATAAATTAAACTAACACTCAGAACTATAAAATATGTGATAAAAGTTTGTATGAATTGTGTTTATATTGTATTTAGTGAATATCAGCATTGGTCGATACTCAAAATGTGTGATGAATGCATTCAAATTGGTCAGTTCAGATGGACAGACTTGTTCTGAGCAGACTGCAATTGCTAGTTCTTTTATTTTTGGATTAAATTGTAAGCTCTTTTCTTTTTTTTTTTACAAAATTTCTCCATGCAATTTATTGCACTGTATTATGTTAGGAGTATAGGAGCAAAGGGAGTTTTAATTTCAGAAGAATACATATACATATTTTGTTTTCCTTTGTTTTATCTGTGCAGCTTTGAGTTGACCTATCACAAAAAATACCTCAAAATATTTGAGGTATAACATGTAAAATGTAAAAAAGGTGAAAAGTGGGAGTTTTTAGGATGTTGCATTTGGCAAAAACACTTGTTTTCTGAACCAAAACTAGTAAGCTTTGCATCATCTCCAAGATGACCAATGCTAAGGCTTCCTGTCAAACAGGGGGCTCACAGCATTTGGTCACTGATCCCCTAAGAGTCCCAGAGGGATCATCACACCAACTGATGCTGCAGCCACCATCTTCCCAATAAATGCTCTGGTTATATCAGAGTTCAACTTTATTTTTTCTCTCAATCCATATGCAAATAAGACTTTCTTTCCCTTTTCCAAAAATAAGCAGAGTAGAAGCAGAGATTTTACTCCTAATGCCTGCTGCTATGATAATCCCCTGATGGGAAATATTTGCTGAGGTAAATTAACAGTTGAGGTTTGCATCGTTAAATACCCCCAACAAAATTTTTCCAGGGTACATTTTTCAATTTCATTTCTTCTGCATGAAAAAAGGAGAGAGTTGACAGCCGGCAGATGTATTAACGGGACTCCATCTATCCAGGAGTGAGACTCTCAGGTGAACTTAAATCACCGACAGGCCTGAGCTGATGCTTAAGATGTTTTGAATATTATTTCTGTCATTTTTCGTGCTGTGCTGTGCACCCACCAGAAACCTACTTGATGGATAAGTCACAAGCCACGTCGAAATAGTTTCAGTTTCAATTTGAACATGTCCAAATGTATCACCCTGAAGGGAATCAAAGAGAGTGGGGGCAGGCCTGCCGGCAGCAGCTGTGGAGCCTTGTGGATTCAGCCTATTTCATAGCCTCATCTAAGACTCGGCTGGTCGTTCATACAGATAAGCTTCAGCTAAGTCGCAAGTATACAAGAAAAAAAAATAAATGGTGTGAATAAAGAAACGTGAAAATGCAGGTTATGAATCGACCAGAGCTTGAACCTAACCACACATACACTCTGTGGAGATATGCATACACACATTTTTCTCCTATAGCGGCTGAAAATTAGTCCAAGGGATTCATTTTTCAGTTATTAATATATTTAGAGGCAAAAAAATGAAATCAGGAATATTTTCAGAGTTGTAATATTTGCATATTGCGTTACACCTCCAGCTTTTTTTAATCATATGTTCCGCAAGATGGAAGAGAAAACATATTTCTCTTGCTAATGAACAGTAATGGATGCTGCCCACTTATAGAAATGTGATCATTCATAATTTCTCACGACTTAGGGTGACATTTTAACCTGCCATCATTAACAGAGATGACCTGCAAACCATATATCAGACACATCTATTTGAGCAGACCACTCAGCCAGTTAATCAATTATCACAGTGTTTGCAGATTAAAGGTCAGTCTGGCAGCAAAAGTCTACATGAATTTTAAGACAATTGCAAAACGTAAATACAAATACTGTTTAATCAACATATTTAGTGCAGATGTAAATATTCTAAGCTGGCTGTTTTACCTCTACATAACAAATATGTTTAGTGCATATATCAACTGAAAAGCAACACATCTAAATGTCCAGTTGCTACATAATCTGGATTTTTTTAATTAATGGGGATTTAAACAAAGCAGTGTAAAATGCAAAATTGCTTGGCTGCAGTACGTTGTTCCCCAGACATATTAAGATTTTATTAATCTTGGCTGCTCAGTGGCACAGCTGGTAGCACTGCTGCCTTGCAGCAAGAAGGTTCCGGGTTTGATTCCTGGTCTTTCTGGATGGAGTTTGCATGTTCTCCCTGTGCATGCGTGGGTTCTCTCCAGGTACTCCGGCTTCCTCCCACAGTCCTAAAAACATGACTGTTAGGTTAACTGGGTTCTCTAAATTCTCCTTAGGTGTGAGTCTGTGCGTGAATGGGTTGTTTGTCCTGTTTGTCGCTGTGATGGACTGGCGACCTATCCAGGGTGTACCCCGCCTCTCGCCCGTAGACAGCTGGAGATAGGCACCAGCACCCCTCACCACCACTTGGGATTAAGCATGTCAGAAAATGGATGGATGGATGGAATCTGTTTATTTGCTTTCAAAACCATTCATAAACATGGACACATTAAAAGGATGCATGGATCAATCTATTGTCACATGCTTCAGCACAGACTGAAAGAATGGGTCAGCTTCTTTTCCAGCAGCCTACATCTGTATTGGAACAAGTTAATCACAATCTGTGAAGGCGGAGTTTAGCTTATAGATAAACTGAAAACAACATTTCTGTGAACTAGACATAACCTTTTAAAAGACGATAACGAACAATAATTATTACTAAATACATTTAGGTGTTGTATAGCATAAATAACACTGTAATTTATGCCTAACTATGCAGCATAGTACTAATCAGTTTACTTTGTGGTAATTGTGAGAAGCACGTTTTGTTCTTTCTCACAAATTTCTTTTAGTAAAAATTTGTATTTTTTGAACCTCTGTGATTTTTACCATTAAATATTAAATACTGTTGAGGGTAAAATAATCTAAATTTGTATAATAATACAATTAGTTTGCAAAATAACCTCTAAAGTATATTTTGCACACATACCTTATATGATTTCGCAGCAAATGTGCTACTCATAACAAAGGGGGTGACAGGTTTGTCGTTTTCACAAAAAGAATGAGAGCCCTACTTGCTGAGGGGTTTACTTTATGCGTTAACTCCACCTCCTTCACTCAGCGCGCCGCTACATGCACCGGCATTGAAATGGTGCGGAGACTTTTAAACATTTGTTTACTGGACGTTTGCACGTAGACAGACAAGAGGCAAATAAACCTACCTGCGGCCGTTGCACTTTTAAATGGCCATGTGTTGATGACAAGCGGTAAGGATGTCCGTCCAAGCTGAAAACATAACATTAAAAAGAAAAATTGTGGTGAAACGTCCATTTTGCTCCTGAATATTAAAACGCCGCGATCTTTTTACACCAGCGCTGTCAAGAATGTGTCTGACAGAAAACTAAAAATGAGGGAACGGCTTTAAAAAGAGTTGCCTTAAAAATGAAATACTCTGGAGACTTTCAGGAAACAGCATGTCTACTTCCTTGTTGTGTCACATGCCGAGTGGAGGGGAGGTTCCTCCTTAAAGAGACAGTACACATATTTCGCCTGTACAACAAACTTGGAAATGGCTGTTTTGTGAAATCAGCTTACAAGTAAAATGAGAACACGAATAAGTACATGTTGTAAGAGAAAAACAGAAAGTAAATTATTTATATTGCCCACTTCTCATTAATATTGCACCGATTTCTTTAATATTGCACTGAATGTGATAATGATGATAAACTGGTGACCTGATTGTGTTTATCACTATAGTGATCACTCAGGATCACATGTTTGAGGGTCTTGCAACCACATTTTTACATTTGTTTTAAATGTTTGAAAACTTGTGCTTTCCCTCACTGAATTATATCGTTTCCCAGAAGGTTATGCCCTGAATTTCATGACAGTTAGTGAGAATGACATCCGTCTAAATTGAACTTCGCTGTCACCTCTCCCAGTGACACGAGTTACACGTATAGTTGGACGCCTCAGCGTATGACAACTAGTAATGTAGAATTCAATATGAGACAACATCATTAAATATAAAAAGGTCAGTGGGGCTTTTCTTGTCAATGAAGCTCTAATTCAATTAAATTCACTTTATATAGCGCCAATTCAACACACATGTCATCTGAAAGCACTTTACAGTTCATCAGATGATACAGTTAGATTGATTCAAAGTTTTCTATCCAAGAAAAACCAGTTGATTTCATCGACTCATTGACACGAATTCAATCCCTCACACTAAGCATGCTTGTAACAACAGTGGTATCTACATTTTAATTGCATTTGACAAACCATTAACCTAGAGTGAGAGCAGTAAGGGTCCCAAAATTGACCCTCAAGGGACCCTTGAAGTTAGCTTGTGTACAAAATAAGTCTTTGTTGTCATCTTGACAAACATGAACTGTGTCTTCGACTGGATCACTTTCTTTTAAACAAACTTGTTTGTTATTTTGTGAAGTTACGACGGATGGAGAATCTAAACATTTTATTAAAGTTAGAGTATTGATTTGTCACAAGTGAAAGTAAAACATATGATACATTGAAACTACTCCTAGAAGGGTTTTTTTTCTTTTGTCAGAAAGCTCCTCAAATAACTATATCTGAGTAATTGAAACTAGTTGCTACTAATCTCTGGGTGTGGCTAATGTCCCACAATAGAAAATACTCCTGATTCCCAAAAAATCAAGAAGCCAGTCCTTCATTACTTCCATAGGAATACCTGGATGTTAACGTTTAATATGCAGATATCTGTCATTTTAAGAAACAACAAAGCTATAATCCAAATGTTCTGTATCCAACAAGCTATATCAAAGTCATTTTTGTGTTTTTCTGTAGGATTAGACATAGAATATAAAAGTGCACAATTCTATGGTAAAATATGTTCTAATTCATAAATATTTGCTCCATTATAATGAGTTATTTTTTATATTTTCATGAAAAAAAAGTAACCCCCAAAATAAATAATGGCTCAGTTTACTCTGGAATCACAATGAATATTCTGCTTATGAATACATGCAAAATTAGACACTATTTCCATGGTGGATTTCAATCACATATCCTATTCTCCTCTTTGCACTTTTCTCGTAAATTATTTTTTTCTGAGGTGTAGAAGTTATGACAATAAGACTTAGAAATTCTAACATTCATAGAATTCAGCACCAGTTGGATACAGACTTGCTGTTAACCTATTGCAGAAATAGCATCCACATTTTTATATAAGTGCACAATCAGGGTTGCTTTGTGACTCGCTTCAGAGGGTCCACTCATTATTTACACCAGTATGCTCCAAGCTGACCACTTAAAGGGTGCAAAGGGAAACCTGCTGCACTTCTGGCAGATTTGGATCTTGGTGACTCCTCTCAAGGGTTTAATTTACATTGGAGGCAGAAGGAAACCCAGGTAAGTATTTGCTCTATGGTCTTTTGTAGATGTAAGATGGCTTGTTTGTTCTTGGCAAATGTCAGAGAGTTGAATAAGTGGCCCAGGTTGTTTGCTGTTTCACAGATCATTTTCAGATTTTTGTCCTGCTGTGTATGCTGCTTGAATTACATTCAGGTTGTTTTTGTTATCAGTTTGTATCATTTCTTACAGCTGTCTTTAGGATCCATTTATTCTGGTGTAAAATGTTTTAGAAGAGTAAAGCTTTAAAAAAATTCTGCAACAAAAATGTGCTCAGGATTTTATTTAGGTTGTAACAACCTAAAAAAACCCTTTCAACATTTTACACAATACATCGCCTTTTCCAGTAGGTATAATTATTGGACCAGGGCATCTGAAAACAAAATATTTCATCACTCTTGACCAATGGTAAATTGACCTCCAGTCCTGCAGTTATTCTTCTTCCATCCTACATTATAATACTAAAAAGAATAAATTCCTGCACCCAACTGACAGAAAAATTTGTTGGAACATATTTTCATCTTCCCTGAAATTGTGTAATTCTTCATTATCAGGGAAACCACCATAAATAAATATTAATATCCTAGTACTTTTACTTCTGTGTCTCTGAATCCTGGAACAACTCCTAGATTTAAGGTCCTTCCTGGAATTCGACAAGGATATCCTATCTCGCTAAGACTTAAACTTAGAGACTTAGACAAACTTTATTGTTATTTTGTATACACAGTGTACACAAAATTAAGTTTCGATCCATACAATTTTTAAACAGTGAATGAGCAGCTTAAAACAGTGAAATGAACATTTCCATTTATAAACTGCAGCAGTGATCAGAAAAAATATGGTGCAAAATGCAGTAGAAATATAACAGATATGAAAGAGTCCTGCTGTCACAGGTTAAATAAAAACCTCCCTATTTTGGTAAAGTTGTTTTACGTAAAGCTATTCCCAAATGTATTTATCCTTCTCAGTTATTTTGTATTTCCACAATCAATATCAAGAAGGACAATTTATAGACGCCAATTAACAGTCATTTGTTTGGACTGAGGGAGGAAGCTGGAGTACCTGGAGAGAACCCGAGCAAGCACAGGGAAAACATACAAACTCCATAAAGAAAGGTACTAATGACTAGCTTAATGGTTCATTGCATTTACCTGCCCAGCTACGCCGAGTTTTCTCATTACTGTTCATCTCATCCACCCACTCCTGCCTCTATTTAAGCTGCTTACCCCCAGTCCTCAGTGCCAGATTATTTGAGCCTTTGGTGAGAGTTCCTTAGCATACCCTGTGTGTTGTTCTGATTGCCTGATCCTGACTAGTTCTGCCTTTGGACCTCTGAGCCTGCTTGTTCCCATTCTGATCTGTTTCCCTGACCTGTCTTGGGACTCCTGCTGGATTCTGCCTGCTTCTGACCCTGGATCTGTCTCCTGACCCCGACTTGGATTTTCCTTCGGCTCCTCCTTGGATCTCTAATCTTCTGGCCTGGACTCCTGTTTACCTTATCGATACCGGCTTTGGATTAGCCCTCTTGAAACTCCTGCTTTCCCTTGTCTGCTTGTTTCTGCTCGTCAGCCAATTCAGCTGCCTTCTGGGCTTCTGCTCCTGGAACTCTCTGGGCAGCTTGTGCTGCATGCTGTGGGAATTCATCCGGCTGGACTCCACTCCTTCTCCTTGGCTCGTACCTACTTTATAACCAGGTTCGTTACTCACACTCTTGTAATCGTCCTCCTACAGATTTATGTGGTCACTAACCTGATTTTTACCATCAACAGAGATTCTGGCCTTTTTTGTCCTAGGTACTGAGACGTGTTGTCAATAAACGCTTTTGTAAATTGCATTACTCTGTCTGCCTGAAATTCTGGGTCCACAGTTCTGAGTTATGACATGGGTTGGGAATCAAACTTGGAATTTTCTTGTTGCCCTCTAAGATTATAATGAGGGAGAGATTAAAGTCTTGGATCTTCTATCAGTGTTTAAAACTTTTAAGATTAATCAGTTAAAATAATATGGTCAAATTTCATATGGTGACTTTAAGGTAAAATGTTATTTGATTACAACATTTCCCCACATGGACCAACTTTAGGAAAAAACAGATCATTAACCACAAATAGTGATTTTTAACTTATGGTGCCAAAACAATGTTGTTTATTTTTGTAATCCAGCTGGTAAACCTTTGTATTACAGGCACTTTATAAGCTTTATATGCCACCGAAGCTCAGACAGAATACATTAACGTCTGTAAAGCTGATCTTTAGAGACTATCCTAGCCTATAAATTTGACTTGAAAATATAAAAAAAATGTTTACCTCCATTGTCCCTCATTGGGGAAATTCTGGTAATGAACAAAAAGTTTTAAAAAGTTCAGCTACAGCAGATGGTGTAAATACTCAAAGACAATGAATATTATACAGTTGTTAAATACAAAGTCATATTCAGTTGAAAATGAGAAATCTTCCAGTTAAAAAGGAAAAGAAAACTGTAGCTGGTTTATGGAACCAGGCAAGAAACTTAGTTCTTGGAAAAAAAAGTTTCAAAGCAGGTATAAAAACTGCAAACAGTCAATAGACTTTGGCTGTTTCCTGTAGGGGCCGCCAGTGGACCTGGTTGAAAGTTAGCATCGTATCTTGGATTCTTTCTGTATCTCTGCTTTTGTCTCCTTGAACCCCAATCGGCCTCAGCAGATGGCCGCTCACACTTAGCCTGTTTCTGCTGGAGGTTTCTTTCTGTTAAAAGGCAGTTTTTTTTCCTCTCCACTGTCGCTACAAGCATGCTTGGTGTGAGGAATTGCTGTCAAGTCCATTATTTGGTGCAATCAAGTGGTTTTCCTTAGATAGAAAACTTTGAACCAATCTGACTGTATGAGCTGGTTGAATTGTCTGTGTAAATTGCCTTGAGATGACGTGTTGTGAATTGGCACTATATAAATAAAGTGAGTTGAAATGATTTGAAATTTAAAGTAATTAATATCTGTAAGATATTAGGCTGATTAGAAACATTATCATCATCCCAGGATAACTTATCCCCGACTTTGGAAATTTGCTCTTGTATATAATGTGAAGTTAATAGCAAATAACTATGGAAATAATCACACGTCAGCACAAATTGATTACATTTATTGTTTTA